CCCCCCCCGCAACCCCGCGCTGCGGCACCGCGACCCCCGCAAGGACAGCCGCCCCCCCACCGCGAGCCCTTCTCCTCAGACCCCTTCACAACGGCCGCGAGGGCGGCGGCGGCCACCGCTCCCTTCATCCACGGCCGAGCACCGACGCCGCGCACCCACCTGCCCGCTCCGCCGCTCCGGTCCCACTCCGCTCCCGCCCGCCCCGCCGCGCACAAAAGCGCCAAACAAAGACACGTGACCCGCCCCGCCCCGCCCCTATTGGCCGAGCCGAGCGGCACGTGCCGATCGGCGGGGAGGGCGAAGCTGGGGGGTTCTGCGCCCCCTCCTCCGCCGCCCGTTGCATGCCGGGAGCCGTAGTCCGCGGCGGGCGGGCGGAGGCGGTGCGGGGCGGCGACCCCCGCGGCCCGGCGGTGGCCCGGCGGAGGATGCGGGGCCGCGGCGCGCCGTGCCTCGCCTCCGCGGGCCGTCCCGGGAGCTGCGCGGCCCGGCGCCGCGCTCTCGTCGCGTTGTCGGAAAGCTGCGGGACTCCCTTTGTCTGCCGCCCCGGTGGCGGGGAGGAGCGGGAGCCCCGGCTGGCTGCGGTCAGCCTTCGCTGCGGGGATTCGTTGCGGTGGTGACAGGGCGGACACCTCCGGGGTGGCTTCGGGGCTGCGGGCTGTGACCGCGCCGTCCTTCATCCCCTATTGATGCGCCTCGGCCCCTTGGAGCCGTCGGTCACCTCGGGGCGGCGGTCGCTCGGGGCCGTTGTCTCTTAGCTCAGTCCCTTGGTTGGCCAGCACAGACCTCCATCGTCTCAGCATCACTGCAGTGCCCACCTTTGGTCCCTCAGGGCCACAGCCGCCCCAAAGCTGCAGCCTTGCTATGGCCCTATGGGAGCGGGCAGCGGTTCTGGGGTCAGCCACCAGCACAGCACCTCTCCTGGGAGGTGACACCAGCAGAAAAGCCGTCCTGCTCTTTGGGAGACACGACACGTGTACTGCCTGCATGCATTCCTCATCCTTGGCTGCATAATGAGCGCTCCATTCCCCGGATAACACCATTAGATAAGCGGTTTGCTCACCAATGTGTGCTTTTATACGTTCTGTACAACGACCAGCGTGCAATTCCTGTGGCCTTGCCATGCTGCAGTCACTTCAGCCAACACCAGCAGCCACTAAGAGGCAGATGGCCGGAGAAAAACACCAATCTGCTACAATACAACCCAGCACAGCAGTCTTTGTACCCAAAATACCAAAAGAAGGAGTTTTCTGAGGGATCCACCCTTCTCGTGCACAGTCTTAAGGATTTTGCACCAAAAAAACAACCACCCTACCTTCAGGAAGGTTAATATTGTGACAGAAATGTACAAAGCTTTCAAAACAGAGATTATTTTAAACACTTGCCCTGTTTTTTTTTGTTTTTTTTTTTACTGATCTGACGTCTATTTCCATGGAAACCACATCCAGCCGCCTGGCTGCTGGAACTGGGAGAGGTTTCTGCTGGAGTGAATGGAAGAGCCATTTTCCAGCAGCACTGTTGGGCCTTTTGTGGGGTGATAGGGATCCCAGGTCCCACATGGTTTGCCTGCCTGGCCATTTGGGATCACGCCTGGTACATTCACAGGGTTCCTGGCTCAATAACATCCATCGGTGCCACACACAACACACTTGTTTTGTATGAAACATCTTGAATGCTTGGATTAAATGGCACCAAATGCTGCTGGAAGACAAAGAAGCCGAGTAATCATGACATCAGCTTGTGTTTTGCTTTATCATTTGCTATTATTCACATAGATCAGTGTTGGATGCTTTAATACTAATGCTTTTCAGTAAAATTAGCAAGCTTATCCTGGGATGATCTCAGGGTTTCCCAAAGGAAGTAAAGCTTCCTGGGTGTTGGGCTTCTCCTTTGGTACCTGCCTTACTGCCATTAGTCACTGCTCCTCCCTGGAGAGATGATGATGGAGTATTGCTTTGCAGCTTTTGAAGAAGGGCTGCAGGCTGGGATACAACCACAGGTCACGCAGGGGCTGTTTTCTGAGCCTTCCATCTTATCTCCTGGGCTCCTCACAGGGACAAAAAACCAAAAGAGAAAGAAAAAAAAGACCTGAATGTAACTTACCTTCCTTTGTAGATCAGCTTTACAGCCAAAAACATTCACTTCACGTAAGAACTTGCATACATAAGAGGCAACACAGTGGGAGTCAGAATTGGGATCTGCTCTCAGCCCTTACATTTTGCAGCCCATGTCAGTTATGCAGACTTTAGCAACCTCTTTGTGCCACCTGCCACCCACCACCGGCTCCAATTTAAGCCAAAATCTCCAAGCAGTGCTGCAACACAAAGAGGAGTAACAGCTCTTAGCAGCTGGAGGAGCACAGAGACGATCTCATTTTTGGCCTCATTGCAAGACTGCTTTTATTTTTGGAACCCGCTTGTTTACGTGGCATTTATTTTTGTCAAATCTCAATGAGAACGAAGGATGTGAAAAGCTTTTATTACACTTGATTGGTGTTTATCAACACTTTTACTGGGATTCTAAGCAGATTCTTCTCCTGGCAAACCTTGGCGCTGTGTGGCTGCAGTCCTGCTCATCTCCCAGGCTCCTCACCACCAATAAGAGCTGTTTGTTAGAATTCCAGTTTAAAAAGAGCACGGAGCACTCAGACTCCTTCCACCACTGCATTCTGCTCTCAGAGCAACAGCAAAGCCAAGGGCTCATCCAGAGAGCTCCCCATCCGTGTAAATTTGGGACGTGACATGATTAGATGTAGCACGAAGATTAAAGAGCCCCCTCTGATGTGATTATCAAAATACTCCACAAAGAGACTGACATAATTAGGTGACAACTCAGCCCACGGCAGCTCTTTTAACTTGCAAAAATATTTAATCTCCAGTGAGAAAACGTGCTTTGTGAGCATTGAAGTGCCACGTGGTGGATGGGCTGACATCCTGTACGTTAGTTGGAGAATGTTTTAAAGCACCTTTGTAAAAAATGTCAGCAGCAAATACTTTCTGAGACTTGCAATGGTCACTGCATGAGTAATGTATGTTCTAAAGCTAGAAATCCAATGTTCTGCTTGATCCAAGTCAATCAGAACCTGCGAGAGGAGATGGCAATAAAAGAAACTTGTGCTCAGGGGTAGAGAAAGGCTGCAAAGTTTCCTCTTTCCCTGTTTCCCAGCCTTTGCACTAACATCCAGCAAACCCTTTTGCACTTCCCCATGTGCTGCTGGAAACTATTGGACTTTTTTCCAATCAGACAAGGCACCTGAATTCTGTTGCAGGTTTGCTTTTTGGGAAATTCAATGGAATTTGCTTCATTCGATTCCCTCCCTGATCCCACTGGGAAGGGTGCAGTGGTGCAGTGAGTGATGGGGCTGGGCAAGAAAAAAGCACAACAGCTGAGTTCCTCGAGATTCTGGCAATCAGGTGAGGTGGTTGTGGAGAGGCAAGAAGGAGGGAAAGGGTCCAGCTGTTAATAAAGAGCAGAGACTTCACACTGGGTAACATTCCAGGGTTGGTGGATTCCTCCATGACACCAGCAGTGCTGGGAACTGCCTGATAGAAGGGGTCTGTGTGCAGTGAAAGCTGTCCTGGAGGTCTCCTCCGTTCTCCTTACTCTCAGCATCCTTTATGCTTTCCTCCATCTGCTCCTATCTGTGTTTCCCATATGGAGCACTGAGAACTTTGCTATTTGAGGATGCCTGCGCCCAGCCCAGTGCTGAGGGTGTGAGAGCCACGGAGAGGGGCTGCAGAGAAACCCTATGGAAGGCTTTATGCTGGTTTTTGTGTGTGAGAGCCAACGTGAGATGCTCTAATTGCATTTCAGAAGTGACAGTCAGTCGCTGCAGGTGGGATAGAGCAAAGGAAACGTGTTTTCAACAACCACATGGAAGAGAGGTGCATAGAGAAGCCATAAAATATTCAGTAGAGATGGAAGATTCCAGTAAAGACATTTGCTTTTGCTCTTTGCGAATGAAGCGAGGGAAAGAAAAGCTGGGGATAGCACTAATTATTCCCTGGTTCCTAATTAGTTTCTTGAATTTAAAATATGGTTTCAGCTCTCTCAGCATCTCAGCAAGCCCATTGTGCTATTAATACTTCCCTGGTGAGATATGGTTAAAAATACTCCCACCCTTTCACGACAGAATGTAGCTTGGAAGTGTTGTGATGGGAGGAGTTCAGGGATGGAAATCCTCTTAAAGGAGCACGACTTCCCCTGTGTCAAACAGATGGGGTGGGTGAGCTGATAGCAACTCCAGAGCGAGCCTGCTTTCACTAGGAACAAACTCTGCAATGACACTCAATGCAGAGCTTCGGGCTGCTTGCTGTCAAAGCAGATTCAATTACAAAATCAATGCAGAGCCATACAGGGATGGATTTTACTTATTTCTTGCAGAGATTTGCTGCCTGGGAAAATCCTACAGTGCCTTCCTTTGAATGGGCACTGTAAGGAAGCATCGCCCCACACAGAACCACAGTGCTGTATGTGGATGAGATCTGTGCCAGATACCATGGACACAAACCATTCCTGTCTGTTTTGTGAGCTAAATACATATATATATTTAAATGTATACACACACACACATTTTAAAGCATCTTTCCACTGCAGTCCAGCCATGAGCTGCTTTCAGCCCCCAGATCCCTTCAGGACAATTAGTAATTCTCTCCCATCTCCATCATCTATTTGGCTTCAAAACGGGTTAATTCCCACTCCATCCCTCTGGCTCTGTGGGCTGCCTGGAATCGCTCAGTATGGAAACAATACCTGCACTTAACATTTGCTCAGTGCTGTCTGATCCCTTTTCCCCCCCCCCCACTAATTTGAGCTCCTAATCAATACATATATTAAAAGAAAAAAAAAGAGACTGGGCACATCCATCACAGCTGTGAGACCAGGCAAACAAAGGCAGCCTTGCTGGTTGAAAAGGCATCGCTGTCTTCTATGCAATAAACCCAACTGCTGCTGTACTCTAAAATCGATACCCAGAGAGACATGCCTGCATTGTGACTGCTAACCTAAGTGCTTCATTTAATTAAAAATAAAATAAAAAAACAACCAGAAACCCAACCCAGGCCTTGGGTGCTGGATGTTGTTAGAGCTGCTATAACTTGAGGAGACAAAGGCATCCTGAGGCCCCGTGTCAGCCAGGATGGGGCTGATGGAGCACCTGTGGTCCCCATCCCACAAGGTCTGAGCTCAGCCCGTGCTTCCTAAACTCAGGGCAAATGACCCCAGATGATCCTTCCAACGTGTTTTGTACAGCCTGAAACCAGAGACACCTCACACAGCCCTTTTCCTCCTCCAGTGCCTCGGTTTCCCTGCATCCCTTTTTTTTTCCTGTTATTCAGGGAGCATCTCTCGCCCCATCCAGGGCCAGCAGAGCATCGCTGCAGCTGCAATGGGGCTTCAGAGTGAAAACTGACAAAAAAAATACCTGTTTCTCCCTCCAGATAGCCTGGAAGCGACGAGGACAACAACTTGCTTCTGCCATGAGGGAGGTTGATTTTTCCTTTGAACTTCACCCGGAGTAAAGATTTGATTTGCCAATGGAAAGAACAGAGCAAGGTGAAGAGCAGCGTGTACTCACCGACCAAAGGGCTGTGAGGAGAGAGGAGCTGGCTGGGAAGCAGGTTGGGTGCTGCACATCCAGGCTTTGCTATTCCTTTAAAAAAACACAAGGAAAAAAAAAAAAAAAAGGAAGAAAAAGAATCACGCTCCACTAGATGTTACGGTAATTAAAAGGAGGCTTTAACACAAGGCTCAATTTGCATTAATTAATTAAATCAAGCAGCAAGCTTCGATGGAACAAAGCCGGCTCTCGAGCAGCAGTGCTTATTGCTGGGCTGGGGTGTGTGTGTGTGTTGGGAGGGAGGCATGGAGAGCCCTGAGCCTGCTGTGTTTGTGCTGCTCGATCTCAGCCCCAACCCTGGGAACAGCATCTTTCAGAAAGCAAAGCTTGCACTGCGATGGAGGAATGCACCCATTCACACCCTGGCCACGCTGAAAGCACAGCTGTGAGAGGAATACAAATGGGCAGCTGTTGGGTTATTTATTGATAAGCCACCGGTCGGAATATGGAAGCAGAGCAGGCACAGTGCTGAGCTCAGCTGGAAGCAAGTCCCTCCCAACGAGGGGTTGATCTCCCATTGAGCAGCAAAGTCCCCCAGCGGGACCCTATAGACACAAACCCCACATGTAAGGGCAGGGTGACCGAGAGCTGATAGCAGTTGGGTGCTGGAGCAGCTCCCAGATCATGGTAACCCTTAACTGCTGCTTCCTGCCAAAAAAAGCCTTCCAGCCAGGTCCAGCAATACAATGCATCAATCCAGCAGCAGGGTGAGCACCACCGCCTTGTGCTACACCTGGGGATTTGTATCACAGCTTCTGTGCACGCTGCTCCTGGCCTCCAGGCTGGAGCATGGCATGGGGACAGGGATGGAGGATGCCAAGGGAGGGAATCTGGGCTGGGTTTGGAAGAAGAAACACTGAGCCTAAGGCTGGCACTGGAGGTGGAAATGAGCAGCTTTCAACACACCGAAGGGTTAACATATTGCAGTTGCCCTCCAACCACAGTCTTCATCCCCCCCCCTCCCCTCCTCCCTGAGCCTTTACATAAGGCTCGTGCAGAATTTATAGCCTCCCTCAACCACGCGGAGCTGAGCCACTCCCTGCAATGTCAGAGCACATCACAGCACTGCTAATTCTGGGAGGAAGATGGGACTTGATTTCTGCACCAGTCACTGTCTCTCACTGTTAGGCAGGACACAGAGGTGCGTTCCCCCATGGGTTCTGCAGGCAGTGACCTCAAGTGTCTCCTCCTCACCCTCAATACCTTGGTCCTGGTGCTGCATGATGCTCCAGTACACTCCCAGCACCAGAGAGGGCATAAATCAGTTAACAAATATGTATCTGGAACCTCCAAAAGAATTGAGGTCTTGCAGCTTTGTCCACACCACTTCTTGCTTTGCATGAAGACAAGCCCTCCTGCTGTTGCATCTCTCCCCCAGAGCATCCTTACCTCCTCAATTAAAAGGAGAGGAGAAGGAAAGGGTTTGCCTATCACAGTGGCACAGATTGAGAACAGAGGAAGAATGCTGCTCCCTCCCCATTCCCCTCCCTTTCCCCCAAATTCACTGTCACCAGATGAGGAATAGCTCCCAACACCCCAAGCCAGGGCATCCTAGCTGCATGCAGTGCTATGAACCATACCTATGGCTTTTCTCCCTGCAGTGCAGGAGCTGTGGCACTGTGCTGACACTGCCCTCACCATGTGCATGCCCAGCGGGGACAAAGGAGGAGCAGATGGACACCACTCAGCGATGCAGCAGCTGCTGAGCAGTGTGTCCTGCAGTGCCTGCTGCATCCCAGCCCCACTGCCCATGGGAGCTTGGGGACATCTGTGGGGCCACCAGCAGTGCAGCTCCAGAAGCACTGGGCTTCTGCTTGGGGACAGCTGAGAGGGGGGGTGCTGTGTAAGGTGGCTCCTTGTCACAGCATCTCTGGTATTCCCTAGGATTGTGCCCTAGTTGCTCCTCAACTGCCCCATTCCCAACACGTGCCTGTGCCCGCATCCTGCTCACTGCCCTGCCCTAAGATGCTCACAGCCAACCCACCAGCCACTTCTTTTTTTCTTTCTCCCCCAAATTTTGCACTTGCAGTCAGCACCCTGATCAGATTTTACCATCTCCATGCTCAGAGCCCTCATTGCATCTTTCCTTATGCTGGATCACTGCTTGAACCCCCCAACATGCAGCAACCCCACTGCTGCAGTGCACACAGGGCCCAGTGCCCCCCATGCACGCAAGCAGGGCACTGTCATCAAGGCAAACTCAGGTCTGTGACCCCAGGGGTTTTATTCCCTGAGCTCTGCAGTCTCCAGCAGCCACCAGAGGCTCTCAGGCAGGGAGGGCTTCCTGGAAGCACGGTGGACACCACAGCCACATCTTGCAAGCACAGTCTGCAGGCCTCACTCTCCCAGGGGTCCTCCTACCCTCTGGAGGCAGACCCCAAACATTTTAGACAAGGAGCAGCTGAATTCCCAGCAGCTGGATCCCAACAGCAAGCTACAGGTTGGAGAGGCAGGAAGGTGCTTCTGGAATGATGGAGTCCCCGATGCCTTCGAGGAGGTGGTCCCATCGAGCAAACTCCTCTCTCACATCTGCATGGGGCAGAGATGGTTTCAGGGTTACGACAACAATAATCACCCCAGCTTCATGCATAAGAGGAGCAGCCACTGCAGGAGCAGGAAAGAGACTAAACCAGCAGTTTTCCCAAGGACTTCCCAACCAACACTTCTCCATGTCCTCTGGGCATTGCCACTTGTGCCCGGAAGACGGCAGCTAGGTGGCTCATGGCCATATGGAATGGGGATCATCAAACCAACCTCATGCTTTCCCAAGCCCCATTTAATTCCACCTGTGCCATACCAAGGTGCCTGTGCAGGAAGGCCAGAGCTGCCTGGCTGGTGATGTCCAGGCACTTGTAGGGGTCGAGGCTGCCCCTCGCATTGAAGACACGGGGGATGAGCTTCCCGGTGAGGAAGGCAAAGTCAGTCTGGCTCTGGTGCACAGATCCCCTGGGGAAGGGAAGGGAGTGTGGGTAAGAGCCTCCCACTCCTGACCAGGCACCTGCCTCAGCACCAGACTCACAGGATGGTTATGATCTTTGTCTGGCTGTTCCTGGAGCTCAGCCTCTTCATTTTGGCCACACTTTCAGGGGTCTGGAACTTCTCAGTGTTGATGAAGAGCACAGGCTTGGACACCTCAGGGTACAGCATGTTCTCCAGGGGGAACATCCATGCATCCAGGGCCACTGCGCACCTGGTGGGATGGGCACATGTGCCCATAGCCCCTCTGTGGCCTTCCCAGCCCTGGGAAGCATCCCAGAGCCACCCACCTGAACCCAGATTCCTTCACCAAGGCCAGCACAGCTGTCACCCCACCAAATGAATGGCCCATGACAGCTGCTTTAGCCAAGTCAATGCTGCCCTGCAACAAAGACGTGCACCACAGTGAAGGCATTTTCCTGTTTTTCAGGCAACGTGACCTGACCCTTCCAGCCAGGAGCACCCTGGCCAGCCCTGCAGCCCCATGTACCTTCAACACAGAGAGGTCGAAGCCCTGAGGAAGGACGTTGGGGATGGATTTACCACTGCTGACGGCCCGGAAGAGCTGAAGCGCTCGTGCACACTCATTTGCTCTGTGATGAACCTGCAATGCAAGCTGCCCCATCAGCTGAGCAAATCCTGTGGGGGTCTGCACAGGTGCTGCTTTTCCCCCACATCTCCCAGCAAGAGCTCCCCTCCGAACCCCCAGCACTCAGACACACCTCATTTCCCTGAATTACCGCAAGCATAAAAGCAAACAGGAGGCTGCACCACAGCAGCTCCCACAGGGGATGCAGTAAATTTATTGAAACACTTTCTTTGTTATTATTATTAATTCACTTAGTCTGATACCACAGACCACTGGAGATAACCCAAAGCCCTCAAACACTCTCCATTCTGAGCCACAGCAGTGCTGCCAGAAGATGCTGCACTTCAGACCGAGGCTCTGCCCTCAGCTCACATCCCAGTCCTGAACACACATAAAAATAACAGGCTGGAATTTAGGACTGCCAAAAGCACCTCCAAGCTCTGCATGTTGCAAAGAGGCTTCCAGCCACAGATCTCAGCTCCTTGCTTTCCTTTTAAATGAGGCAGAAAGGAGCAGCGGGGAACCTCGCTCAGCAGGAAGCCCTTCTGCTATCAGCTGTGCAGGGTAATCCCAGAGAGACAGTGATGGGAAAGCACCAGCAGGCCCTCAGACTCCAGGAAATGGAGACAAATGGGGTGGAGTGGGTTTTTCCTCAGTTTACAATGAGAAAGCTCAGGTTCAGCCCCAGTATTGATGCAGTATGGGTTTGGGAAGGGTAGATCCCCTAGGGCGGGGGGGGATGTGATCCATCCTGGTTTGCCCATCCCAAACCCTCCCCCCATACCTGATTGTTCCGAAAATAAAACTCCTTCTGTCCCTGCGGCACCTGCTGGTGGGGGATCCACTGCTCCCGGACAGCCTCTGCTGTGCAGAAATAGGTCATGGCAGCAGAACTGTCCCTGCAGCAGCAAGGAGGAAAGGAGAACATGGTGAGGCAGCTCTCCGCCTGGCCCCCATCCTGCTGTGTATTTGGGGAGGGGTTTCCTCTCGAGGCTGCAGGGACTGTGACACCAACCTGTGCTCCAGTGCAGCCACCACAAAGCCCCAGGATGCCATCTGCATGCAGATGGATGAGTACACAGTGCTGTGAAGGGATGAGGTCAGGGCTCTGTCTTGAGCACCCATGAGGGCCAGTGTGAGGAACCCACAGCACCAGAGTTCCCATCCCAGCCCCCCCTACCGAAAGGCTCCCAAGCCATGTGAGAAGATGATCAATGGGTACCCACTGCTGCAGGGTTTGAAAGGTGCCTTCCAGCTCAGCGGCACTCTGCAGGAGCCTGTGAGGGACAAAAAAAAAAAGAAAAGAAAACACCCCAAGAAAAAAAACAGGAGATGGGCAGCAAGGCACTGCTTGGACCCACAGCACCGACCCCAGCTCCTCTTCACACCAGGGCCCGGTGGATTGGTCTTAAGCCCACAAAAGCAGCAGGTGTGGAGGACACGGGAATGTCTGCGTGGGGATGGGGGTACGGCCGCCCCTCACCGACGGCGATGCTGAGCAGCGGAGCGCACCACCGCCGGCTGTGGCCGCTGAAATCAGCCAGTCCGCTGCAGTACTCGTAGCGAGGAATCCAGAGCGGCCGCTCGGCCCCATCCCGGGGCACGCAGGGGTAGAAGAGGCGGAAGAAGAGCCCCTGCAGGACAGACGGGACGGAGAACGTGGTGCGCCCTCGTCCCTCACGGCAGCGGCCGCAAGGTGTCCTCAGGAACTCAGCCCTGCCGATACCCAGCAGCCGCCCCGCCCGCCCCCATCCCATACCTGCTGCGTATGGCCCACCATGACGTCCGCGCAACCCACGCGGTGAGGTCCCTTCTCCGGGGGCAATGCCAGCGACTGTTCCCCCCCCATGGCACCGCAGCGATGCGGTCAGCAGCCGTCCCCCGAACCTCCTCTTTCTCCTGTCACCAGATCTCCACACCGCGGCCACTCCGCAACCCTGCAAGAAAAGAGGCTCCCGCTCCCCTCCGCACCCACCGAACCCCGCACACACCGCGGATCACAGCGTATCCGCGCCGCCGCCCCGGCTCCGCGCTGCCCTGTGCCCGGCCACGTGCTGCCCCGAGCGAGCAAAGTCCTGCAGCCGATCAGAGGTTACGGCTGTGATTTCTCGCCCCGTGTCCCGACTCGCCTCGTGGACACACGAGCTGTTAAACGCATCCCGTGCCCAACCCGCCCCACGTTCACAACGCAGCCGGACAGCTGAACCCGTCCCATCCCACGGTGGGGGACGTGGAAGACGGGAAGGGGCGGCTTGGACGAGCCGGAGGTGGCACATAGAGCTGCGAGCGAGGGAACGGCGCAGGGCTGACACCGGGACAGCCCCGATCACCGCGGGAGACACGGGAGGATGCGGTTCTGCACCGCACCCACGGAGAACTACAGCTCCCAACGTGTCCTCGGCTGAGGACTGCAGCTCCCACAACGCACCGGGTAACCGGACTACAGCTCCCAGCACCCCCCGCAGCACCACAGCTCTCACCGCCCCTCCCTCACGCAACCCCTCCCCACCCCCCCGCAACCCCCAACGCTTCCCCTAAGAGCTCCCAGCGCTCCCCGCCCCGTCTACTGCAGCTCCCACCGTCCCCCCAACACACGGCTCCTCGAACTCCNNNNCCCCCCCCCCCGCTTCACCCTCCCACCCCTCGCACTCAGCACCCCCCTTCCGAGCACCGACACCGCACCGCCTCCGTGTCACCACTGCAACCGCACCTCCCAGTACGGAAGAAAGTGCCCAGCTCAAATCACGGTTCTCCAAAGTCCCGAGGCGCTGCTCGGCTCCGCCTGCCCCCACGCCCTCCCCCCATCCCCGTCCCCACGTTCCCCGTCTTTAATTTAAACCGCTTTCGCAGTCCCGCGCCCCCGATAATCCACGGCGGCGGGGGATTAAATCCCCGCGGGGCCGAGCTGTCCCCTGGGCCGGGCAAATCGCCAAAGATTTGGTTTAAAAATAATAATAATAATAATAATCCCTGACAATCTGTGCACGCAGCCCACGCGCTGCTCCACCCCGGGGAAACTGAGGCAGGTGCGGGCCCGGTAGGGCTGTGGCGGTGCCACTCCCGCTGCACGCCAACCGCTCCACACCCCACCCAGCGTCCCCGCGGGCTGAGGCCGGCCGCGTTGTTACACCCATACACCCACGGCTCGGTTCCAGCGCCTGGGCTGCCGGGAGGGGTGGGGGCTGCGAGCCCCGGCCTGCCCGCCGTGTCCCGGGGCTCACCTCCGGTAGGCGGGACGAGGGTGCCCCACTCCCACGTGGGACGCGGTGATGGCAGCGCTACGGGGGTGGGTGAGGGCACGGATACACACCGGGAGGGCACGGATACACACCGGGAGGGCACCGGGACCCTCGCACAGCCCCCGCCGGGACGGGGGGAACCCCCACGGCCACGTGGGCGCGCCGCGATGTCTGCGGGGCGCGCCTTTTTGGTGCCGCGGGCCACGCCCACGTGGGCTCGGACAGCCAATGGGAGAGCGGGGGCGGGGACTCGGTGGCGGGGGGAGCGGGCGGTCGAGTGACAGATGCGACGGGAGGGGGGGACAGCGGGGGGAGTGACAGCTCGGGAGGGGGGAAAAAGAGCAAGTGAAGGGACACGGGGACGGCCCCGGGGGGAGAGAGGGACAGAGCCTGCGGGGGGACAGACAGCTCGGGGGGAACAGACAGCGTGGGGGGGGGGAGGAAACAGCGTGAGGGGGGACACGCAGCTTGACTCGGGGTGTCAGCAGCCCAGAGGGGCACAGGCAGCGCGGCGGTGGCTGTTAGTTGGGAGGAGGACGGACGGGCAGCCCAACTGATAAGGTGACAGCAGGGGGACACAGTGACACCCCCAGGAGGCACAGCAAGGCGCTGGGAAGCGGGGGGTGCCCCCGGCGGGATGAGCGGCGGAACGCGGCGGGACCCCACCCGGGGAGCGGGACCGAGGGAGTGCGGGGACCGCCCCACAGCCGTCCCGCGGCGGCGTTAGGGCAGCGCGGGGCCCCCGTCGTGCGGCCGCGTCAGGGATGCGGAGCCGGGGCTGCGGCACGGCCGGACCCCGCGGGCAGCACCGACCGAGAGCGGGCACCGGCGCCGGGACAGCGGAGGAGCAGTGGAGGTACGGGGGCGGCGGTGAGCCGGGGTTGTCTCCCGGAGGCTGCGGGGGGAGTCCCGCCGGGATTGACCCGGTTGGAAGGGAAGCGATCATGCGACCTCGCTCCCTCCCTAGGGATTTGAAGCTGGGCCAGACGGCAGAGGGAAATGTGACCGTCGCTCCACCGAGCCCGGGAGTGAAGGGAACGCTGCGCTGGAAGAGAGGCAGTGGGAAACCCACGGAGGGAGGATCGCGGGGTCCCCCATCCCCACACTGCGGGGCAGTGAGCACCAGAAGCCGCTCCGCCTGGGGTCGGGGACACCGTTCTTTCCACCGGACAGCAGTACCCATCCGAGCCTGATGAGAAGCTCGTGAACCTATGCAGACCAGGAAGAAATACATTTTCCTGACTTTCCTCGCCTCTTGGCTTCTGCTTTTCTTCTTTGGAAGAGAGCAGCTGCGCCGTTTCGCTTTCTTTCCCAGGAGGAACGTCGCAGCCCGCAGGAGTTGGCCGCGCTGGGCGGATCGTGCCCTCCTGCACAGCTTTGCGGAGCCCCGGGAGCTGCAGGGCAGCGGTGACACAGCGCAGCCCTCACCCCGAGCCCGGCGGGCGGCACAGCTGAGCACATCCCAAGGCAGCCGGTGCCGCATGGAGAGCTGCTTCGACGCCTCCCGCTGCCAGAATGGCTTCAAAGTGTTCACGTACCCGCGGGAGCACGGTGAGCCCATGTCGGAGAGCTACAGCAAGATCCTCGCCTCCATCGAGCGCTCGCGTTACTACACCCCGCGTCCCGAGGAAGCCTGTCTCTTCGTGCTGAGCATCGACACGTTGGACCGCGACCCCCTGTCTGCTCACTACATCCGCAGCGTGGAGCAGAGGATCCGCTCCTTCCCGTTGTGGAACAGCGGCCGCAACCACCTCATCTTCAACCTGTATGCGGGCACCTGGCCCAACTACACTGAGGAGCTGGGTTTTGACATTGGTCACGCCATGCTGGCCAAAGCCAGCTTCCACAGCAAGAACTTCAGGCCCGGTTTTGATGTCTCCATCCCTTTGTTTCCCAGGGAGCACCCGCAGCGCGGCGGGCAGAGCGGGTGGCTGCACCACAACTCGGTGCCCCCAAAAAAGAAATATTTGCTGGTGTTCAAGGGGAAACGTTACCTGACCGGGATTGGCTCCGGCACCAGGAATGCTTTGCACCACATCCACAACGGGAGGGACATCGTGTCGCTCACCACCTGCAGGCATGGCAAGGACTGGGAGAGGCACAAGGACATGCGCTGTGACCAGGACAACGTGGACTATGAAAAGTGAGTGGGATGGGGATGGGGCCAGGTGGGGGGAAAGGCTCTGTAGGTGTGCACAGGGAATGGGGGCTCTCCTGGTTTCATTTCCATCTAGTAAGGTGCTGGTGGTTTGAGGCTGATCCATTCTGTATTAAAGTTGGAGCAATCTGGTGAGAGCAGCTCTGATCTGCAGTCGCCACTGCTGCTCCTACTATGATTTCTCTTTTATCCTAACACCGATGAATGATGCTTTTCTACTCCCCCCTGCTGTCCTCCCCTAACATAAATGTTTTTTTTGGAGATGAACCTGAAACTTCCCCCCAGCCCAGCTCAGCTCCAAGTCCCATAAAACCAAGGTGTTTGGGCATCCTGGTGTGGACATCACAGTGTGGGCTCCCTGCCTGCAGCTTTGGAACAACTTATGGCCACACGAGAACTGATGGGAAGGATGGGACACCATCCTCAAAGTATCTTAGGAGGTGCTGGGAGGTAAAAGTGGAGCCGGGGCTGCGGGCACTTGGATTAGCCAGGGCTTCAGGGCGGCTCAGGAGGATCAGCCCTCATGGTGGGGCCTTCTTGGGGACAGGGCAGTGGGACATGTGGTGGGCCGATGGGCTGGGGCCCAAGGTCAGTCCTGCACTGTGGGGTGGGAAATCCCCCTCTCACCCAGCCCAGGTAATCCCCTAATGCTGTTTGTGATACACAGGGATTTACACCTTGCCCAGGACAGCTTTAGACAGCAGACTGATGGTGAGCACGTGGCACACGGCTGTGTCCTCCTGTGTGACCACGTGTCTTGTCCCACTTGTCCCCGTGGGACACCTGGGCAAAAAGGCATCAGCATCTCCATTGTACCCAGCCAAGGATGTGTGCAGATGTCCCCAGGTGGGACAGTGGCAGAGGGGCAGCGGGGACAGGACACCGGGGACAGGGCACTCAGGTTTGGAGATGTCCCTGTTTGCTTGGGGACACAGGAAGCAGCCATGCCACTGAACCACAGGAGAAGAAGCCAGCCTTGTTCAGGGCTGCATCGCCCTCCTCACTCCCGAACAAACCAGTTCTGTGCTGGATAAAGGGCAGTTGTGGCCATGCCACGGTCCTGCCGCCTCGGGGAGGGCTCCCTGCAGCCGCGGGTCCCCCGTGGCACCGAGCCCAGCCGGAGCTGCACAGGGGCCGTGCAGAGGGAGCACGGTGGGCACCCGGCCCGGCCCTAACAAAACAAGGAAGCCCTGCCGGCTCGATTGCCCGGAAACCACAGTGCGTCAGGAGCGGAGTGTTTGCATCGGGAGGTGCCGGCCCCGCAGCCCGGCCGGCGCCAGGCTTCCAACCACGGCCGCCTGCGAGGGAAGGATGCCCGGCCATCGGGGACACATCACGTTCCCGTGTGGGGCAGGTGGCGATGGGGTATCCCTGGGATATGGCAGAGGCAGAGCGTGCCCATGGAGTTTTTAGTCGGATGGGTTCTCTGGAGGTGCATTTTGTTCCTAAAGATTTGTGTTGCTGATGCTTCAGCGCTGGGCTGGCTTCCTGCTGCATCACACACAGGGGGGTTCATCCTTACCTCACAGCCACCCCATCAGCTCCCCCAGCCTGGAGGTGGCCGGCGCTGACCCCACATCCTCACCACAGCTGGGTTCAGGGGACCTTCCCCTTGGGGTCAGTAATATCCCACATCACTTTGGCCTCACAGTCCCTCCCATCCCACCCAGCACCCATCCTCTTTATGTGCAGGAACAGACAGGGTCTGTCCCACCCAAACGTCAATATTGGCTTTTCCGGTGCGGTCGCAGGGCTCTGTGAATGCCTCTCCCTGCAGCTGCACAGAAGGGGCTTTCACAGCCAGGGGGATGCACTGCCCGCAGCCCCCCCAGAGTGGTGCCAGGACTCAGTGCAGTTTTGGGGCTCGTGGATTTGGGTGCTGACTGCACTGTGCCTCATTGCTGAGGAGCAGATGGTGCTGACTCCCCTTCCCCTGCCAGGTTTGATTACCAGGAGCTGCTGCACAACTCCACCTTCTGCATCGTGCCCCGTGGCCGGCGTCTGGGCTCCTTCCGCTTCCTGGAGGCACTGCAGGTACCAGGGGGCTGCGAGGGCATGAGGGACCATCCCCCGTGTCCCTGTGCTCATGGGGTCCTGTGCAGGCCGCCTGCATCCCAGTGCTGCTGAGCGACGGCTGGGAGCTGCCCTTCTCTGAGGCCATCGACTGGGGCAAAGCGGCCGTGGTGGGCAGCGAGCGACTTCTCCTGCAGGTACTGCGGTGCTGCCCCACGCCCAGCACCAGGGGTTGACCTGATGGGGGGTCTGAGATGAGAACCCCATCCCTCCCATCCTGCAGATCCCCTCTGCCATCCGCTGCATCCGCCCGGAGCGCGTGCTGGCATTCCAACAGCAGACCCAGTTCCTGTGGGACGCGTACTTCTCCTCTGTCGACAAGATCGTGCACACCACGCTGGAGGTGAGCCCGGCCCAAAAAGCCCCCCCCAGCTACCAGGACCACCTCGGGGTGCTGATGTCCTCACACAGATCATTCGGGATCGGCTGCTCCCGCACCGCTCGCGGTCCCGCATCCTCTGGAACGCACTGCCTGGGGGGCTGCTGGCACTGCCCGACTTCTCCACGCACCTTGGGGACTTTCCCTTCTACTACCTGCAGCACGGTAGGTTCCCGTGCCACACGTGCTCTGTGTGCCTGATGCCTGCCCCCACACCTCTCCTTTTCCCCCACATTGCAGGCTCCAGCCCTTCTGACAAGTTCACAGCACTGCTCTGGGCTGCTCCTCAACTGGGCTCCCTCTCCCAGTCCACTCTCAAGCTCATCCAGGCCGTCTCCAAGTCCCAGTACTGTGCGCAGGTGGGGAGGGATGGGGCTGGGAAAGGCCAGGGTGGGATCAGGGTGGAGGGAGGTGGCAGTGTGGCAGTGATCGTGTCACCCTCAATGTCCCCTGCTTGCAGCAACAATGAGACCACCTATGGTTTTATTCTGGGGCTGGTCCAAATCCTGGTGTAATGTTTTTGGGATGGAAGAGGTGCAGCCCTATGCAGAGAGCTGGGCTGGAGCTGGTCCCACTGCAGGACCAGAAGGGTTCAGCATCAGCTGCCCTGCAAACACTGATGACAGACTCCAGGAAACACCCCTCCACTGTGCCTTTGTCCCCCTGCAAAGATCCTGGTGCTGTGGAGCTGCGAGAAGCCGCCGCCACCGAGTGCGATGTGGCCACAGACTGCTGTGCCTCTCACCATCATCCAGGGCAGGACGAAGGTACACAGAGCAGGATGCAGGGAGCTGGGGTTCACACCCCACAGCACATCCCATATTGAACTCCCACCTCTGCTGCAGCTCAGCGACCGCTTCTTCCCATACGCAGCCATTGGGACGGACGCAGTGCTCAGCCTGGATGAGCACACCAGCCTCTCCACCAGTGAGGTGAGCACTTCCCAGCCCCATGGATCAGGGCAGGATGCATGGTGGTCACTGCAGAGCTGGCAGTGAGTGCTGTCCCCATATCCCATAGCTCAGGGACAGGCAATGGGGCAGCCAGCAGCCTCCTCTCACGGGTCCCTGTGGGTTGAGGTGATGCCATCCCCTGTCCTTTGCAGGTGGATTTTGCCTTTGTGGTGTGGCGCAGCTTCCCTGAGCGCATCGTGGGCTTCTCTGCATGGAGCCACTTCTGGGACCCCGAGCAGAAGCGCTGGGGCTACACCTCCAGGTGGACCAACAAGCTCTCCATCGTCCTCACCACCGCCGCCTTCTACCACAGGTACCTGGCTGGATGGGGAGGGCCCCGTGGGGCTGTGAGGCTGAAGCCTGACCTCCTCGTTCTCCACAGGTATTACCACAGCCTCTTCACGGAGTACCTCCCCGCGGGGCTGCGGGAGCTGGTGGACAGCCTGACCGCCTGCGAGGACATCCTTATGAACCTGCTGGTGGCTGCTGTCACCAAGCTGCCTCCCATCAAGGTCACGCAGTGGAAGCAGCACAAAGAAGCTGCGTCTCAGCTGGTAGGATGGCATCCTGGGGTTCAGGGACTCCCCAGCAGAGCCCTTCACCCTGTATTCTCCTCCTGCTCAGGTGAAGGACACGGCGGCAGGCAGCACCCGGCGTTTCTCCCAGCAACAGGATTGCCTCAACCAGCTGGTGGACTGGTTTGGCTCCATGCCACTCGTGTCCTCCCAGCTTCGCCTCGACCCAGTGCTCTTCAAGGACCAGGTCTCTGTCCTGCGCAAGAAATATCGCTACTTGGAGAAGCCCTGAGCTCAGCCGTGCAGCCCAAACCCCTGCACAGACCTCGCAGGACATGGCACAGCCCTCCTGGACCAAGCGCTGCCACGGGGCTTTATTCCTGATTGGGTTTTACCAGTACAATAAAGATCGGTGGAGGTGCAAAGTCTGACATGGGGTGAGCATATTGTACCCAGCAATGGCACAGCACTGTGCCACCAACTCACAGCACCTCTGGGCTCAGCAGCCACTGCTGTGCTCCCGTGTATGGTCACAGCACCGGGTGCCCCATAGCTCCACACGCTGCAGGGCCACCTCCCCGTCCCTGTGTCCCCGTGATGCTTTCCTGCCACCATCCCCACTCCGAGAGCAGCTGGCCGGGAGGGCTGAGCTTCCCAAAAGTAAACAGAACAGCGATAAGGGGTGAGAGCAGGGCGAGCCGGTCCTCCCTCCCCCAAACGGGACAACAGGACCGGGGGCTCCTCCTTCTGCATCCTCCTTCTGCACCCCTGCACCCCGCTCTGCCCCCAAAGCTCCCCAAAGCTGGAGGGGAAAAAGCGTTGTTTCAGGCGTTTTTCTCAGCTAAAATAGTGAAAAGCGAAGCAAGCGCTGCCCCCCCCTCCCCGCCTCCTCCTGCAGCCCTGGCTCTGCTTTCACTGCCGTCACTCCCCGATAAAACCCCGCTGCCTCCAGACTCAACATCGCCCATCCCGAGGCCGTCCCCCGCGGGCACCCGGCGCTGCTGTTTGCTCGCGTTTATTTTCCTCGTATTAAAAAAAAAAAATTGGTGGGAGAGGGACGGGAAGGAACGGCGGGGCTGAGCGTCGCTCAGTCGCTGGGAGGCTGACACTCACGGCAGTCCCTCATGTCCTCGGAGTAGCTCTCGATCTGGATGGTGGTGGTGTGGAAACGGAAGGCGCGCTGCAGCCGGGAGCTGGCCTCCTCCAGCACCTCCTGCGAGTCGGCACCCGCATCTGCAAGGAGCCCGGAGGAGTGTTGGAGGCCGGGGGAACCCCTTGCATCCCACCACCCCCCCCCTCCGGCCCCGCATCCCGCAGCACTCACTGATGGCGATGTGCACAGAGAGCAGCGGCTGCGAGGCTGTCAGCGCCCAGATGTGCAGGCTGTGCACCGCCTCCACGCCGCCCACCGCCAGCAGCGTGTCCCGCACCGCGTTGAAGTCCATCCCCCTGGGGGTGCCTGGAGGGACGCGGGGTGGGATGGAGACAAGGCATCTATGGGAGGGGGGGGGACACATCACCAGCCCTCGGGGGCTCCCTACCCTCCATAAGGACGAGGAGGACGTCGCGGAGGATGGTCAGCGTTGTCCCCAGCACCAGCACGGAGAAGAGGAAGGTGCAGATGGGGTCCACGTATTTGTACTCGGGCTGGGAGGGGTGGGAGCAGGTGAAACCCCCCCAAGTGCAGCCAAATCCCCATTGGCACTCAGCCCCATCTCACCTCGCGGCTGGACAAGCCCACGTCCCCCATGTCTCCCTCCCCTCCAGACCTTAAAGAAGATGATGTAGGATGCAATGAGGACGCCGATGCTCTGCAGCAGATCCCCCACCACGTGGACGAAGGCCGCACGGACGCTGGGATTGGGCTGGTCATGGGTGTGGGGCTGCTCATGAGCCCCTCTATGGCTGTGCCCGTGCCCCGTTTGGTGCAGAGCTGCCCCCATCCTGCAGGCAGGGCAGCAGTGACATCCCCCAGCCACCGAGCTCCTGCCCAGGGGGTGACAGCACATCATACATACACGATGTTGACGGCCACGGCGCAGGCAGAGGTGATGAGCATGACACTGCCCTCGATGTCGTAGTCACCCAAGAGCAGGCGTTGGGCTGCCAGGTACACCAGGACACCCGTCACCACCCAGATGGACAGCACGGAGAGCAGGGCCCCCAGGATCTCTGCAGACAGCCCTCAGATGTCACTGTGCCATGGGGACGGCACGCAGTGCGGCTGCAACAGGATCCTGAGGTTACCTGCCCGGTGCCAGCCAAAGTTCATGGTTTTGGTGGCGGGACGTGAGGACACCCAGAGGGCAAAGAGGCTGATCATGATGCTGGCAAAGTCCGTCAGGAGGTGGGCAGCGTCCGTCAGGATGGCCAGGCTGTGGGCCAGGTACCCGCCTGCGGTACAGATGGGAGATCCCCATCCAGAGCCAAACACAGACTGGGTCACCCCATTGCAAAGCAGGGAACCCTGCCCCATTGCACAGATCAGAACAAGAGGGGCCATGCAGGGCAATGTGTTCACCCAGCACTCACTCACCCACAGCTTCCCCCACCATGAAGATGAGGCAGATGCCAGCAGCCACATAGAGCTTCCTGCGCGCCCGCTGTTGTTGGTGGGGGTCACTGCCAGCCCCCCCTGCATGGCAGTGCCGGCGGTGCCGTGCTTTCAGCTCCAGGCTGGGAGCCTGGCCCTGCGCCGAGCCTGCTGCGTGCTTCTGTGCCATCCCCAGGTAGGACCTGCAAGGACGGGTGACATCGGGACACCCGGCTGGGGGACGTGGGGAAGGGGAGGAGGGAACCTGCAGCCCGCTCTTTGCATTCAGCCCTGCTCCTACGTGTCCCCTTCCCCAGGTCCTCTCCCTGATGGCTTTGGCCACGGGGACCCCATCCAGGAGCCCCGTGAAGGGAAACGCAGCCTCCCCCGTGCACGCCTTTACCTGCCCGTGCCCTCGCCCAGCAGCTGCTGCTTCTCCCCTCCGCCTGCCGCCATCCCTCGGAAGCCGCTGCTGGTGACCTCGCTGCGGGTCCTGCGCTGGTGGCAGCTGCGGCCGCGGCCGTGTGGAGCGCCGGGACCCGTGTGCAAAGCCAGGCCGGGGGAGGAGGGCCAGGCCGGCTGCAAAGCGCCTGTTGAGCCTCGCCCCAGGCTGGCCGTGCCGCAGCCCGCGGCCGGGGGGCTCTCGGTGTAAGGGGGGGGGGGCTGCTCTGGGCATCCCCACGTGCATCCCAGGGGCACATCATAAGCTGCGTGCAGGGTGTGGCTGCACCCCTCAAGGATAGAGCTGCATTGAGCCCCCCGTGCACTCCCTTCCCACCATGGGAACCCCCTTTTCCCCCAGTTTAAATCCAGCTGGGCAGGTGGATCTCGCCTGGGGTTTGTGGTTGGATACCCCCATAGCAGTGACCCCACTGCCCCCAGGAGCAGCACAGCTCTGACTGCAGTCACAGCACAGCACTGAGCACTGCTTTCAGCACTGCCTCAGTTTACTCTCGACCCCGAGCTGGGTTTACGTTGGCACAGGAGAACCCGACTGTGCTGTGATTTTGGACCCACGTGAGCTCAGCTCCATGCTGTCCCCTTTTGGGGCTGGCAGAGTCTGAGCACCGTCACCCCATGTCCCTGAGGCTGGGTAAGCACTGGGATAAATCTTGCCGGGTGCTGACCTGTCACATCCCGGGAGTGTGGCCAGCATGGGGTGCCAGTGCCACCAGAGGTGTTAATTAGGCTGAGAATTGGGCACTGGTCCCACACCAGGGAACCCTCCCACATCCCCAAACCCATCACAGGGAGCAGTGAGAAAACGAGAGGTGAGGCGGGGGAAAAAAATAGCCAGAGCACAGGTTTTCTGTACAAAATACACAACTCCATTACAATTATATACAAAACAAGGAACATATAAAATGTGCGGAATAGTCCTCTTGGCACCCGTATAGAAAAGTGTCCTGTACTGGAGCTGGATGGCTGGCCCCGTCAGCGTGTCCCCAGGTTCTGTCCTGGACATCCTGCGTCCTACTGGGGGGCTGCAGAGGGAGAGGGCAGTGAGTGGGACTTCATCAACCCTCCATCATCCCCTCTGTGGGGGTTGCGTTGTGATGCTGGTGATGCTGGCACAGAGAGGGATGGCCCTACCTTCCACCACCCTTTCGGGTTCTGTGTCTCCTGTATCTTCTTCTACCTCCTCATAGAACTCATCTTCCTCATCTGCAAATGGGCACACAGATGTCAGTGAGGGGCAGTTGCTGAAGGACCCTCATTTCCAGGTCCCAAAGGGGTTTTTGGGGTGGGATTACCTGGCTCAAAGTCCAGGGCGCGGACGGCATCGGCGAGGTGCTCAAGACTGACTGTGAAGGCGTCCATGTTCTCATAACCTTGCTCAATCTTCTCCAGCCTGCCACCCTTGGAGGCCTCCACAATCCTAGGGGAGGGAGCACAGCAGTGGTCCCACAGCCCCGAGCGTAGAGCAGAGCCACATGGCCACATCTGGCAGGGGATGGGGATCCCCCAGCTTCCCCCAGTTTGGGCACTTACGTTTTAATGAGCTGCTTGGCATTCTGTGGGAGTAAGAGGAAAGGTGAGGGTGGCAGAGCAGCAGCAGTCAGCATGTCCCTGTGCCACCAGGACGTGGCACAAGGGGTTCCCTATGGGAAGCAAGGGCTTTAGGGGTTGAAGGTCTCACCATGAGGAAGGCGGCCCCGCCGGTCTCCTCCATGGCCTGGATGGCCGTCTCTACCAGCCGGCTGGATTTCTCCAGCTGTTCCTTGTACTTGTGGATGAGGCCCTGCACAAAGCCTGTCTTGTCCTCCTGCTCACGGGTGATGCGTCCCAGCAGCTCCGTCTTCTTCTCCTCCAGCAGCGCTGCAAACGCATCAAAACGTGCACAGAGCTCCTGCTTGGCCGCCTCGCTGTTCTCCTGTGGGGACAAAGCTGTGTCCTTCCTGCTCCTATGTCCTTTGCTCAGGGGCTGACTTTCCCAGCACTTGATTTCGATGGCCACGTTTCCCTATCCCTCACCTCAGTGCTGCGGCAGGAATCCTCCAGCTGGGAGATGATGGTCTGGATGCGGTCGTTCCCCGCCACTAGCATGGAAATGCAGTTGTTCAGCTCGCTCTGGTCAGGGACAGATGGACAGAAGCAGCTTTAACCCCTGCAGGGCAGGGATGGGTATTGCCAGGATATCACGGTCCGTCCCCCATCCCACAGGCTGAGGGGGGGGGCATCACACTAAATATAGGGCTGTCTCCTGGTCAAAGTCAGCCTGCTGCCTATTAATACCCCATGAGGCATCCCGATGCTATTTGCAGCCACCCTAGCTCAGCACTTCGCCCAGGTCTGGCCGTGCCCCACCGTGGCCCCATGTCCCCCCCCATGGCACCTTTTGGCCCTGGAAGATGCTCTGCAGAGGGGCCACTTCACAGTCCTTGTGAGCACCGAAGACCTTGCACATGGAGCAGGTGGGGACTTCGCAGGTGACGCAGTAGATGTTGATCCTCTCATCCTCGTGCTCCTTGCACATGGGGTGCTCCCCCTTCTTGAGCGGCCTGCTGGAGAGAGCAGCCCAGCCATGATGACATCCCCAGCACGATGACATCCCCACAGCAGTGACCTCCCCACCAATGCAGAAATACTGCCCCATAGCCGGATCCTGGCCGCCGTCCCCCCACACAGCCAGTAAGCCCAGTTTGCAGCAGTGTGTCATCAGCCATGGCAGCAGTTGGGGCCACGCTCCAGGGATGCTGCACAAGCTCCTAATTTTAGCTGAGTGCTGCTGGCATTTATTATTATCATCCAACGCGTGACCCGGGCAGGGGCTCCAGGTTGCTCAGGGGGGTGACAGCCATTGAGTCACCACTGGGGGGTTCGCCAGCTCCCCCCCGAGGGCTGCAGCCACCTGCCACGTGCCTTCCATCCCTGTTCCCATGGTGCTGGAACAATATTTACAGTGGGGCAGGAGAATGGGGAGACGAACCCACATGTCTGGGTCGATTAAAAAATATCACCCCCCTGTCTTTCCCCCTCCTGCTGTGCCTCTGCCACTGAGCAATGCCGTCAGACCCCTCAGGCTGTCCCCCTGTCCCTTATCACTCCCTGCTGTCACAGGCAGAGCCTGGATTTGTCCCTCACACCTCTTATCTTCAACCTAAAGCCAAAGCTGCACGGTGCCAGGTTGGGGGCAGGATTCGTTCTTCTGCCACCCCCCCAGGGTCCCCCTGTCCCCAGGGAGCAACTGCAGACCAGAATGGCACAGGCTGGGAGGGAGGTTTGGGCTGGGAGATAGAGATTTGGGTTGAGGGTAAAGATTTGAGTTGAGAATGGAGATCTCAATTGTGAGGTGGAGATTTGAGTTATGGACAGGTGGGGGGGGGAGCACCAAGCCAGCCCTCCAGTTTCTCACCCAAAAAAAAGTGGCAGTCCCTATGTCCCCGTGGGACCAACCTGGAGAACTCCTGCTTGTAGATGTCGATGATGTTCTCCACCAGCAGGTTCCTCTGCAGCCCGTAGACACCGTGGCGGTCCAGCAGGACCTCGTGGCGGCACGTAGGGCAGCGGAACCGGCCCCCCGAAATGATGCTGCTGCCTCTGCTCTGCCAGTACGGATTGGCAGCCTGGAGGGGGACAGGGACATCTAAGTGTCCCCAGGTGCCCCCGCAGAGCATCCCGGAGCAGGGCAACGTCCAGGGGGGTCCTCATCTCACCTGGAAGATGTCGTTGGCACACTTGCGGCAGAGATTGTGCTGGCAGGGCAGGATCACCACAGGCTTGCTGAACATCTCCAGGCAGATGGGGCACAGCAGCTGCTTCTCCAGGCTCTCCATGGGGCTGCCATCGCGCAGGATGCTGGGCTGGAAATCCATCGGTACGGCACTACTGCTCCTCCTCAGAGCAACCCCAGTTCTGCTGCCGGAGCCCCTCGCGCAGCTTTTATCCATTGCCCAGCAGTCACGTGGAGCTGGCTCGGCTGTCTGAAGGCATCACCTGTCACATGGCGGTGACAATCGAGGCGCGCGGCCGCAGTAAACAAGCTGGGGACATGCTGTCCGTATGGCCCTGCTGGGGGACACCGGGGGACCCGGGGGGGTCGGTGCTGTGTGGAGTTGGGATGAGAAAGCACCAGGCTGGGGGTTTGCATGGAGCATTGCCCTTTGAACCCCCCAAAATGTGACTACTTGTGGGGTGCAAAGCACCTGCAGGGCAGCTGATGGCTTTTGAGCTGAACCGCAGCACACGGGGGATGCAGCACGTGTGCTTGGTGCATGCAGCCTCCCCTCCTCACGCTTCTCTGCACCCCAAAAATCCATATAGCAGCCTGCAAGGAGGTCACCGAGGACAGCAGCACCATGCTGCACAGCCTGCCTGCCCGGCCGTGCCCTGTGCTTGTTTGCAAAACCTGACCCAGAAACATCAACAGGAAAACAGGAGCGTGGCCCCTTCAAACTGCCCCTGCTGGGAGCGGCACCGATCACATTGCCCGGCTGTCAGCTGGCACACCAGTAAACAGGGTGTTCTTCCAAATCACAGCACCAGTGCACAGGGAGACCTGTAAATATTGGCAGCTGCAGGGGAGAGGATAATTATAACACCTCTGCTGTGGGTCACGGGACGGGTGGGGTGAGGTGGCTGCTCTGTTCCCCACAGAGCCTATGGGCAGGGGGTGCTGCAAGTGTCCAAAGGGACAGGTGGTGAGATGCTGGGTATGTGGGTGGTGGGTGCACAGTTATGGGCACACAGAGGCACAGATGCATAGGGACACGGGAACAGGGGTGCACAGGTATCTGTATAGAGGGGTGTGGAAGTGCACAGGTGCATGGGTGCACAGATACATGAGTATGCAGGTACAGGGGTACATGAGTATGAGGTTACACGTGTACTTGGGTGTGTGGGCACACAGGTGCATGGGTACATGGGGTACACGACCACACGGACACGTGGGCACACAGCTGTATGATTACACTTGTGCACAGGTAAACAGACCCATGACTGCACGTTGCAGGGGCTCTGATTTTAGGTAGCACCTCCCCTACAAAGACAGGCTGAGTGAACTGGGCTTGTTCAGCCTGGAGAAAAGAAGGCTGTGGGGTGAGCAGCCTTTTAGTACCTAAAGGGAGCCTACAAACAGGAGGGGAATCAACTCTTTGAAAGGGTAGATAGCAGCAGGACAAGGGGAAACGGTTTGAAGTTGAAGGAGGGCAGATTTAGGTTGGATGTCAGGGGAAGTTCTTTGCTATGAGAGTGGTGAGGTGCTGGAACAGCTGCCCAGAGGCTGTGGATGCCCCGTCCATCCCTGGAGGTGTTCAAGGCCAGGTTGGATGGGGCCCTGGGCAGCCTGGGCTGGTATTAAATGTGGAGGTTGGTGGCCCTGCTTGTGGCAGGGGGTTGGAGATTCATCATCCTTGGGGTCCCTTCCAACCCTGCCATGCTGTGATTCTGTGACTTTGCCATCCCCCAGGCAGGGGCAGCCTGTGGCTGTTCCAGACGCTCCTTCCAGGAAGGCTCTCACATGTCAACCAAGTGATCTCACCGAGGCTGGCCAAGCACATCTTGCAAAATTGTCCCCGTTTTGGCACTGGGAGCCCTTCCAGGGAAGTTTGTACATTGAGAGCACACGGGGGAGAATGGGGGGGGGGGGGGGGGGGGGGGGGGGGGGGGGGGGTGACCACCGGATGCACACCTGCCCCAGTGTTCGCCCCGCCCGCTGAACTCATCAATGCTGGACTCCTCGAAGGGGATTCCCACGAGAGGATGGGCTGTAACGTCCCAGTCGGTTTCCCAGCCCTCCTCAGCCCCCAGCTGGCTCCGAGCAGCGCCGGCACGGCTGCCAAACCAAGCCGTGGCGCTGAGCTCAGCGCTGCACACACACAGCGCCCTCTGCTCCCTGCGGCCATTGCGGACAACGGAGCAACAGGACGGGTGAAGAAATGGATAAAGAAACAGATGGGTAAATAGAGGGATAGGTAAACAAACGGCTAAATGAATAAATAGGCGAGAGACTATGTAATTAAACACAGAAGCAAACGAATAAAAGGGCTGTCGTTGCAAAGCTGCGCTGCAGACACGCAGCCGAAGTGCAGCAGAGGATTTGCTGGGCGTTGTCGCACCCCGAGCAACGAAGAAACAGACAAACACAGAAGCAGCCATTTAGCTAAACAAATACGTACAGCACACGCGGGGAAACGAGGAGAGTCCTTGCAAAGCCGCAATGGCCACCGCACACAGGGCTGTTAGCAGGCGAACGGCAGCAAACAAGCAAACGGGAGCAAACAAACAAACGGAAGCAAACAAATGGAAGCAAGCAAGCAAGCAAACGCAACAACAAACGCAGAGCAAACAGCCGCGCGCGCGCCCCGCGGCACGAGCGCTACGCGCATGCGCGTGCGCACGCTCATCACTCCCGCTTCTCCCCGCCCCTCCCCTACCCCGCAGCCAATCAGGAGGCGGCGTGGCGGAAGGGGGCGTGGCCGCGGGGTCGGTCCCTATGATGGCGGCCGGGCGGCGGCGGCGCGGCGTTGGTGCTGAGGTAACGCGGGGCCGTGGCGGGCGCTGCGCGGTTCCGCCGCGCGTCACAGAGCGGCCGGGCGCTGAGGGGGCGGGCGGGAACGGAGCGCCGCTGTGGGAGCGCCGCGACGGGTCCGGGTGCCGCCTCCGGGCCGAGCGAGGCCTCGAGGTTCGCCGGAGCTCGGAGTGCGCGCGGTGCCGTCGCACTGACGATGCCTGTCTTTTCTCTTTCTCTCTTTTCTCTCTATTTATTTTTTCTTTTCTTTTTTTTTTTTTTCTTCTTTTTTTCCGATCGAATAGTTCCTACCGCGCTGGAATCATTTACGAGCTCCCCGCTAATTACTCTGATGCGATCCTCCTTGTGTGCCGGAGCCGGGCGCTGTGCGGGGCCGCCTTTCCTCCTCACCCCCGGCTGTGCGCGTTGTTTTCCTCACAGAGCATCGCTCCGGCTTTTTTCCTATCGAGTAACTTGGAAGTCTGTTGGGTTCTGCTGCTGCTGCTGCCAGTTTTTCTTTTTGATTCTTTATTTTTTTTTTTTTGTGACTGTAGGGGTTTAGTTGGGAAGTCATAGTGGTGTTAAGAGATCGGTGACACTTCCTCTCTCGTCTCTCAAGGAAAAAAAAAAAAAGAAATCGTTGCGAAATTATAACGCAAATCTTTACCTATGCGGGCGTCTTAAAAGTCAGCTCTGTTTCATTCTGTTACTCCTCAACCGCAGGTTTCAGCTAGAACCTCTCTGATAGCCCGGGTGTGGATGGAGAGCATGAAACAGCCCTGTTATTCGCATAGGAATTCCCAAAAGACACTGAGAGAAAGGAGCAGCAGGGTATGGGATAGCCCTGCCTCAGCGCAGTGCAATTCTAGGTTTGAATTGTTGCCTTCTTGAACGCTGAGCTGTGTTTGAAATCGTATAGTCCCACCCAAATGAGGTATTAGCCAGCCCTTAGCATGGCTGCAAGCTTACGGAGTGACTTCTGAAGTATTCCAGCACAGCATTGCGTTCAGTGCGATGCTCAGAGACAGCCCTGCTCACCACAGGGTGTTGGTACAGCTGGCATTGCCACGCCAGGCCATATGGGGGAAAACACAGCTCAGTTCTTGTTCATAAGTTATAGTTCTGTGGGTTTTTCCCCCTTCCCCAGAACCCTTGATCTTGAAGATGGTGAGTAGCCAGCCTAAGTACGATCTAATACGGGAGGTTGGTCGTGGCAGTTATGGTGTGGTGTACGAAGCAGTCGTCAGGAAGACCTCTGCACGGGTGGCAGTGAAAAAGATTCGGTGCCATGCTCCAGAGAACGTGGAACTAGCTCTGCGTGAGTTCTGGGCACTTAGCAGTATCAAGAGCCAGCATCCCAACGTCATTCACCTGGAGGAGTGCATCTTGCAGAAAGATGGCATGGTGCAGAAGATGTCACATGGCTCCAGTTCCTCCCTTTATTTACAGGTACATGAAGCTGAGGTAATGGGGTGGAAGTGCTTATGTGGATGTGCAGCTGGGAGGGAAGGAGGTGGGTAGCTAAGATGGTTTTCTTGAGGTATGCTTAGGTAGGAGAGGGTATCGTTTGCTTTATTTTATGTCTTTAAAAGAGCATATTTATTGAACAATCACCTGCATCTTTTAATTTGAAGCCATGCCATTCTAAAGGCTCCAGGACTTGTTTTGCTAAGTTGGGGAAACACCACAGATAAGGCATGAGGAAGGTGCAGGTTCTTGGTAGAGTCCTGCTGCAGGGTTAGTGAGCAGTACTGATGTCTTGAGGCAGAGCTCTGAAGGATTTCATAATATCAGATGCCTTTGGAAGGGGAAGGGGCTGTCTTGATATACTAAGCCAATGTTTAACCCTCCCAGAAGTAGTAAGCAATTAAGAAAGCTCAGTGAGCTGGTTTAATTTCTTTTTTGGATAGATAACTTCAAAGAGAAGTAAATGCGTGGTATGTAGAGGAATAGAAGAGAAATACTGCTATCCCTTAAGTGGGGCTGTTGAAAATTGAGTTGCCTAGAAGTTGGAAGGCAAGTATTTCTGAGACAGACGTAGCTCTGGAGGGACCTGAAAGCTCACGTGAGTTTGCTAGGAGTCTGCCCCAGCTATAAATCACCCCCTGGCAGACATTTGTCTCTCTGATGTTAAAAAGTCAGTGGCCTGCTAAGCATTTGCTGTGTTATCCCTGATCAGCTTCTATCATTTCAGTTTTTATTGTTGTCATTCTTGCATGGCTGACATTGAACCTTTTGTGAGTGAGCACTCATTTGCCAACACTTCACAGCTGTTCTGATCCTGTTGTGCTGGGTGCTCTGTGAGCCTGAGAAAGGCTTCTTGCCTTTGTCAACTTGCTATAGCTCAGTCATTGTTACTGGCACGTTGCCAGGAAGGGATTAGGGTAAAATAATACTGATCAGCTCATATGGGGGGGAAAAAGTAGTACCTTATCTTGTTGGTGGAGCTGTAAGATATTGCATCAGACTTGCAGGCAGCTGCACAGGGAGTTGTTTGGGGGGAAAAAAAGAGGGGTGTGAGGGAGGCTGCAGGTTGGACTGCGAGTGAAGAAGAGCTTCCAGGTCACTGCAGCGCCAGGTTTTTCAAGCAGTGCAGCGTGCAGACCTTGCCCGTGTTTGGGACACAGGTGCTGCAAGTTGTTTTCCTGCTTCAAAGAGCAGAGAAGAGCAAAGGGCAGAGCTGAGCGCAGAGATCACTTGATGATAGCATACGCTGAAAGAGAGAAACCCACATTTCCCTTGGCTTGCCCTCTCTTCTGCCCACTCCAGGTGATATTACTTTACTGAGCTGAACTGGTACGGTGTGAGGAGGCCTGGGAAGGGCTGTTGGTGTCTCCTGCAGTGCTCCAGGGCAGGTGCTGTAACTGCTGTCAGTTGAGCCAGGCTCATGTAGCGAGCTCTGAGCTGGTGTGGCTTCCTTGTGCTGCAGTCCCAGACCTGGAGGTGAATTCTGTCATCCTGATGCTCTGAACTGAGACCCCAGTACAGCTCCAGTGAGGCTGAATGGAGGGAAGAGCTGCGTGTTGGGGTTACTCCCTCCTGTGCTGCAGTTCCCATCTTGCTGTTATTGGCTGTAAACCCTGAATTTGCAGTTTAAGTTCTAACACAGAGTTGCTCTTAAGTTGGTTTGAGTACTAACTGTGCTCATAGTTAAATGTAGTTTTAATTTGTTACTAATTTTGCTCTTGGATGGGGGAAAAAAAAAACTTTGTAACAAGTATTTTAATATGTCTCTATGTATTAATAGCTGTATTAACTTTTGAAGGCCTGTAGAGGCTGCATCTGCTTTAGTAAGCCCTGGCTTACTGCTAACAGAAATAATGGCAAGTCTTATGTTCTGGAGTATGCAAAGAGCCACCTCAGAGGAGCTGAAAAGACAGATTTGTAGCTGTGTGAACAGAGGGAGCAAGCATAATTGCTGGAGTATGCTGCACGTTGTACAGAGTGGCTATTGGAACTAGCTGCTGCAGTTATTCTCTGCTTATGTTCTAGAAAATAGCTAGTGTGTTGTGGTGAGAAAGGTGTTGCTTGCAGCAGCTGTTGAGATGTGCCTATGGATTAGCATTCTCCTGAGCTAAGAGATCCTGTGCTAACGCTTGTTAGAATGCATTCACATGTAGGGATGGAGGGCAGGCTCTAAAAACATGTGGTGAGGTTGCCTCGTGAGCAGAGGACAAATACAGCCCTGTGGTGCTGTGCAGGGGTTCCTGGTTGAGGCTGTGTTTGTGTTTGGACTTAGCAAAATGGGTGGGACGCTGTCCAGCTGAAACAGATGGGAGTGCAACGACTACTTGATATCCTTCAAAAAGCTGTTATCTGGGGCTGGCTCTGGCTTCTGGGTAGGAGCGTGAGGTTGATATGCTTCACACACACCAAAACAACAAGGCTGGCAAATACATTGTGATTTTTTTTTTTTTAAATCGTAAGTTTTACATAAACTTTTATTTTTTACCAGTTGCATTTCCTTACTCTCTGGGTTGTTGAGAGGAAGATCCAAAACTTGTGCTTTTTTTTTTTTCCATCAAATCTTTATATTTTTGTGGTCATCGGGTAGTTGTGACACTTCTTTTCCTTGTTGCAGCTTGTAGAGACCTCATTAAAAGGAGAAATAGTCTTTGATCCCAGAAGCGCTTATTACCTTTGGTTTGTAATGGATTTCTGTGATGGAGGAGATATGAATGAGTATCTGTTGTCTCGAAAGCCTAACCGCAAGACCAACACCAGTTTCATGCTTCAGCTCAGCAGTGCACTGGCTTTCCTGCACAAAAATCAGATTATTCATCGTGATCTCAAACCTGACAATATTCTGATATCGCAGAGCAGGATGGATGCCAGTGACTTGGAGCCCACGCTGAAAGTAGCTGACTTTGGGCTGAGTAAGGTATGTTCAGCTTCAGGACAGAATCCCGAGGAACCAGTCAACGTAAATAAGTGTTTTCTATCGACTGCGTGTGGGACTGACTTCTATATGGCCCCCGAAGTCTGGGAAGGACACTACACTGCCAAAGCAGACATTTTTGCACTGGGGATCATAATCTGGGCAATGCTAGAAAGGATCACATTCATAGACACAGAGACAAAGAAAGAACTCCTGGGTAGTTACGTCAAGCAGGGGTCAGCAATCGTGCCTGTTGGAGAGGCACTGCTAGAAAACCCTAAGATGGAACTGCTCATCCCTGTAAAGAAAAAATCCATGAATGCACAGATGAAACAGTTGATTAAGGAAATGCTGGCTGCCAACCCGCAGGACCGTCCTGATGCTTTTGAACTAGAGCTGCGATTAGTCAACATAGCTTTTAAAGACAGCAGCTGGGACACGTGAGCTGCAGAGCGGTCGTCTCTTGGAAGAGCTGCTCCTTGCCCAGCAGATGGTGCAACTTAATGGCAGTAAAGAAACGAGCCTGATCTCAGACCTGCAGGGTGTAGTTTCTATTGATGGAATTTTGTTTGAGTTCCATACGTTATAAGAATGTGAGTTGGCAGTTGTGTTAGAGATGCTTTGTGTTTGTTTCCAGGATGTTACGTGTTAAGTCTTAAGATGTGACAATGTTCATTTGTGTACGTTGGCAGTGGGACATCCTAAGAGCTGAGACTTGATTTCCAGCCAGATCTCAGAGTATTTAATACATTCCTGTTTCCTATATCAGTATTAGGAACTCTCCTGGAAGAAGAGATTTGCATGCTGGTAGTGCAAATCTTCAGGTTTGTAAAGTTAATTGTGTACATATTTATGCATATGAGTGACCGAGAGCGTATGCCTGCAAGCGTGTTGCATTCCATGAGGAAATGACACTTTTCCTAAATTATTTGCTGTGGATCTGAATGTTTGGGTTCTGCTAGAAAACTGGGTGAAGAAGATGGATGAGAATCATTCCTTCTCTGGTCCGGGATAACTTTATTATTTATTTTTATCTAATGTTAAAGGTAGGGTCTGAGACTTGACTTTGTGAGCAAGAAATACAATGCAAGTGTGTCAGCAGCTCTGAGAGTGCTGAGGTGGCCAAGCTTTGCACTCACAGCTCAAGGAGCTCAGCACTGAGGGAGTCCAATGCCAAGTGTGTGCATCTGGGTGCTAGCATGTTGGTGAGGTCATTAATCATTCAATTTTGCTTTCTCCTACTAATCAAATACTTTATTAATCCACTAATCTACAGTTTCACAACATGGTCACTGTTCTTCTACCTACAGTCCAGCAGCGAACTGAGTACTTAGAATAGGAGAGTACTGTGAGCTTCCATCATGAGAATGTGAACGCCTGGTGAGGGAATCCAGCAGCATTGAAGCACTGGATTTAAGAGCACTCGGAGTTATGGTTCCAGCACAGCTCTTCCTTTTTGATGCTGACTGTCATCTGGGAGCGATGAGGAGAAAAAGAGGTGACTGTCTCATGGAACACACATTCTCTTGTGTGCATAAGCAGTGCAGGCAGAATAACTGCTTGTTCCTCAAGAAGCAAAGGATTCTAACTCTGTCAGAAGTCTGTGGCTGTACAGGCTGCAGCAGTAGTTTTGAGCTGTAGCTCTGACCTGGTGCAGCACTGGTGGCAGCAGACCTGGGATCATTAGCCCTTAATTCTTGTCACTTTGCATCACTTTGTGTAAGGCAGCTCACCTAAACAGGGATGCTCAGACAAGCATTGCTGCCTTGAAACAAAGCGATGTTTAACCTTCAGAAGATGTCACAGAAGGAACTCTCAGGTGATCCATCAGCTGAGTGCAGCAGAGCACCTCTGGGAGCATCAGTTGGTGGGGATGGAGGTGAGTGACAGCAGTGTGCTGCTGTCCCTGCAGGGTGCTCAGGCTGTAAGGCAGGGCTTGGAGCCTGTCTGTGGGTAGTGGGTGACAAGCAGAGATGCACCTGTCGTGCTCTGGAGGTGGAAATCTGCTCATTCTCATGTTTTAACTGGGCTCGTTGCAAGTGAGGACTCAGCTTGTTATCGACAGGAGGAGAACAGACCTCTTTCTGTCTGTACCAGCACTTTTACAGTACTTCCATCCCAGCACCAGTCATCCAATGAGGATTTTGTGAAGCTTTAAGAGGATGTATCATCTTCCACATTAAACTTGAAAGGTTTTGGAAATACATTAGCTTCTTCCTCTCACCTGCCTACCCAAAAGACAGAATCTACTATATTAATCTTACAGCATTAAACTACAGAACAATAGCACTTACCTTTAAGTCAGTCCTCTGCAAGTTCTCTGATTCTCCTCAAGCACTTCAAAGGTTGAACACTGAGCGTGCTGCCGAGCTGAACGCAGAGTTGGGTGCTAATGAATGGCACAGAAAAAAGGTTTTTTGACTCCCACAGCACTTGTTTGCACTGATTGCCACTTTAAAGGGTGGGGGAACCTGAAATCCCTCTCATGGTGCTTAGCTGGTGGGTGACACTGAGCATGTCCTTGGTTCACAAGGAGTGGTAGTTCTTGAGGTGAGTGTTCTGTTTGTTGGTGAGGCCTTTGTTTTAAAGCCTTATGATAAATCAAACTTGTAGCAGCTACAGAATTGTTCACCAGCACGACACAAAGTCAAGATGCTCTTCAGCACTCAAAAGGTTTTTCAAAATCTTTCTTTAAAAATTGTAAAATATATTTTATGCAGGATTTATAATTGAAAGATTGTGTAACTTATTAAGTTCATGCTTTTTTTTTTTTTTAATAAAATCTGGATTTCAATGAAGCTTTTGAACTCTACTGAGAAGTGCTTTCCTTTCCCTTCAGTTGGCACAGCCATCTCGCTCTCAGCCAAGCTTCAGGATGGTTTATTTGCTTTGCTAGAATAGCAGTAAGCTGTAGCAGTTCATCACGGTCACACACTGTAAGTGATTTTAGCTCGTAAAAGGTGCTGGGTTGGCTGGCAGAGGCAGGGCAGAGCTTTCACTGGTATGTAATGTACTGCTGTGACAGCAGGGCCATGCTGGGTTTGAAAGTAGCTGGCTTTTGGAGCTGTGGCCTTGTGGATTTCTCTGCTCCTGCTGAGCCTCTTAAGAATCAAAGCACTGCTCCTCTGGGCGTGCTGCTTCATTTTCAAAAATGGGATTAAGGGCACAGCAGTATTCTTACATCCTGTATGGGCTGGGAGCTGTTGCTACAAGCGGAGCAAGTACCATCCTGGACTGTATGGAAATCTCTGCGGGCTCTGTCTGCTGTTACTGGTCTTACTGGATTTTTGGGGCTGTGAACCAGATGTTGCTGCTTTCCAGGGCTCTGATGCTCCTCCCTCTGCAGCCAGCCTTCCCTTGCAGGGAGTCTCTGAGTGCTGGAATGGGAAGATGTTACCCAAAAGCCTCTGATTGTTGCTGGTGGGTGAGCCCTGCTGCCCCCTCCTCTAACAGCTTGGGATCCCCCATGCAGAGGGCTGAGCATTAGCCTGTTAAGCATCCTCCTGCACATTTCTCTCCAATGTCTGAATGCTGTATGATCTAGCCCAGCTTCTTTGGAGTTGCTGGGTTGCTGGTGTGCTCCTGGGGCTGAACCAGATGTAAATGGTGCCCTGAAGGCTGGGGAGGTGGTGGTGACCTGCTGGTTTCACATGCCCTGGGAAACCTTAGAAATTAAGGTGAGGAAACACTATTACTTATACATGGCACAAGAGTCTAAAGTCACTTGCATGTTTTAATTAAGCAAAGCAAGGGATTGTTGTGCAGGCTGGGAGTGGGAATAGCTCAAACTGGGAACGCTATAGATGACCTTGTTGCTCTATTTGTTGTCCCACCAGAAAGCAAAGACTGAGCTGTTTGTTGGGTGTCAGTGCACTTGCATAGTTTGTTGTTTCCTGCATATCCTGATGCTGCACATAGGCAGATCCCCACCTGGCTGAGAGCTGTGTGCTTCGATCTGTATGCCAGTGCAGTCATTGCAAAAGAGAAAGGGATTGAAACTGTGATTCTTTTCAGTTAAAGAGATTAATTAAAGGAGAGAGTTGCCTTTCTGACTAGTTGTAAGAGCAGTGATTTTGAACAGAGGTGAAAGCTGAATTCGTCTTCATAAAATGAAGAAAACAAAACCTACACAGTTAAAATGTACCCAGCACGTGGAAAAATAATGTGCAGAAATGCCCCATGACAGGTAGGATGTGTAAGGCTGCATCCCAGCTCCAATAACTCAAGCTCTGCTTTATCTTCCTGGTTCTGCAGAGCACAGAGCCCGCAGGCTGTCTGTCCTGTTTCCTCAGGCAAGGCTTGGCTGTGAGATCCCTGCTCTGCCGTGCTGAGGTTGTGAACTCCTCTTGTTTGTATTTTTTACTTTGTTTTCTTTTAAACAGAGCTTTCTTCAGAGCCACCCAATCGCAGCTGCTGCTCGAGCTGCGTTGTGATGGCAGGTGTTGCTCTGTGCTTGTGTTTAGGTTCTGCCCCTTGGAAGGATGCCTGCATTTCAAAATTACTTTTTTTTCCTCTCTCTCTTGTGCAATGTCTCACTGAGCAGACGTGCTCAGGTGCACTTTGGACTGTGGACAGCACAAACATGACTTTTACTCTCTGCCTTGCTGTACCTGTGTCCTGTGAATCCTTTATGGTATCGCTGTGCTTTCAGTCCTTACTGGGGCCTGTGCTGTAAATCCGAGAGCAGTGTCCCAAGAAGAGGTCGTTAGAGGATTGCAGTGTAGTTAGCAGGGCAGCTTGGGCAGCGCTGAGTTTCGTTTCCTTTTTGGTCAGGGTCTGAGGAGCAGTCTATGCAAAGTGCTGGCTATTCTTACACACTGTTAGGGAAGAGGGACTCATATCAAATGTCACAAACTGTCCAGAGCACCTGCCCTATGTATGGAGAGGGGCAGGAGGTGGAAGTACTGGAACAAACTGCTGCTGCTTCTCTCTGATCACTGGGTCTCAAAGTATTTGAGGCAGTCTGAGATGCTTTGCCTCTATAATAAGCAGAGCAGGTGAAGTGTGGAGAAGCTGAGTGACCCAAAAGATCAGCCAGCAACCCACTGCATCACTGCAAGAGGAGCCATGGCCTGGGTGATACTCTCCTTTAAGTCACTCTGTTCCCAAATGAGTTTCCAGGTTTATCTGGGTGCCTGAAGCACAAAGCAGTTGCAGAAGGGCTGTGGTTGGTGAAGAGCAGATGGTGCTGCCCAGTGATGTGCAGTGCCTGACCTGCAGGCTGAGCTTGCAGGTGGCAAACAGGAGCTGCAGGTGGTGAGTTGGAGCTGCATCTGCTGTGAGACTGGGCGAGGAGGAGGAGGAGGAGGAGGAAGGTTGCCTCCCTGCAGTGCCTCCCATACACAGCTTGCACCTCTCAGGCATTTTAGCCAGGTAAAGTATGCTGGGGTGGGGTGCTGGAGGATATGGCTGACTTGCTTTGCATTTTTTAAAGTGGGCAGAGGAAGAACCAGTGTTAGAATTGCAAGTAGTGCACTGAGGCCTCTGCAGCCTCTGGGATTTGAAATGAAACCATGCAACATAACAATGTTTGTGAGTCCCTTGTAGCAGGGGGGTAGGTTCATCACAGACACACCCTGGGGAGGCCCTCTATCACAGCAGCTCCTCCCACTTCTCCCAATAAGCTTTTTTACTTCCCAGACACAGGCTCCAGAATTCATCCAGGCCAGCTGTTCCAAAGGTTCATCCGTAGGGCACCAAGGTCTGTGTGAAGCTCAGGGTCTTTCTTCTGTGCCCAACTGCTCTCCGGTTGCTGCTTGCAAAAGCTTGTGGATGGCTGCCTTAGATTAGGTGTTGGTTTCAGATTTATTGATGCCCATTTGATGCCCATTTGAGCCCTTGATATTTTTAAGCTAGTGTAGCAGACCTTCCACTCCTGCTCACTTCCCAGTAAAAGTCCATGCATCTCGGGCCCTTGGCGTGCAGCTGTACTGCCCTGAGCCTGCCAGCTCACTTCAGCTGCTCTCCTGTCCATGGCATTTACATGGCCTCAGACCAGAAGGGGCTTTTGTGGGTTGTGAAAGTAAGCCGACAAGTAGCAACAGATGGTAACATTATCAGTTTTACAGTCATGTCTGCACCTGGTCACCCCAGTGTTAGTGATTTTCAAAGGAGAAATGCATCTGGAAAGGTGACTGAGGGGCACGTTCAGTCCTGACCACTCTCCCACAGGCAGACTGAGCTCCTGAGAAGTGAAAATTATTCAGCTCCACTTATTTACCACTTAATGCAATAGTCCACAGATCGAGCTGTTACCCCAGCTGCTTTTCCTAATATCCTGGTGCGTGTTGGGCTGTTGGGACACATGGGGCCTTTTCTGGGGGTCAGACCCTGCCCCCAGGAGTCTCCCTAGCCCACAGCTTTGCTTGGGGCATGCAGGGGCAATAGGTCAATGTCCTAATGACTGCACAAACAGCACTTCTTCCCCCTTGCAGGAGCGGGCTGTGAGCAATGCTAGCCATACCAAATTCCTCCTCTGGAAGTCAGCCCATCCTCCCTGTGGCATCAATTGGCCACGGACATCCTCAGCCTCCTCCTGGGGCAGCTCCTGCTGCTCCTCTGGGGTGGATCAGAGCCGTGCACGGGGGCATGTGCTCTCCTTTACAAGGTGGGGCATGCAATTATCTGTTGCCAGGAGAGAGGAGGTCATGCTGGGAGTGAAGCTGTTTCATCAGAGCTGGCTGTGATCTGAAAAATCACTTTGGAGGAGGAGCGGTTCTCCCGCTGTTTGACCTTTGAGGACTTCCTCAAATTCTTCTCTCCCACCACAAGGACTGGAAGCATCCCATGTGCAGATCCAAACCTGAAGCCCTCGTGTAACCACAGTCAGCATTGGGGCTGTAAGAAAAACAGCCTGATGGATGGGGTAAACCACTTAAGCTGAAGTGACAAAGCTTCACTGCCTCACCCAAGGAAGCAGGAGCTGCCCAGCATCCCAGTGCCAGGATGGGCCCCTCAAACCATCCCCTTTTGTATCTGCAAAGGAATTGGGGTTGTTGGTTAATAGTTCAGCAGTCGGAGTGAGTTATATGTGCCCCCCCAGTGCAGCCTGTCTGTCTGTGTGTGTCTGTCTGTCCGTCCCTCTCACAGAGCAGGGGAAGTTGCAGGCGCCTGCTGGAAGTGCCTCACAGGAACATCCACATCCGCCACACAAAGGTGAACTGAAGGCTGCTCTACTCATGGCTGTCCTTACCGGAACGGCAGGCTGGGTTCCAGCTCACAAAATAAATGTGTTTTGAGAAACAGTGATTGCTGTTGCCTGGCATTAACAATAGGGTCCGCTCCTCCCCAAGGTGGCAGTCTGTGCTCTGTGTGGGAGGGCAGCAGATCCCTGCCCTGTCATGGGTTTCTCAGCCTTTTCCCCCTGTCCTTTTCCTCATCTTCCTCTGGAGCATTGTTTGCTTTGTTTTGGCTGCATCTTGCGTGGGGAATGAGTGCTGCACAGTGGGGTCCTCCTCCTTGGATTGGTCCTGCCTCACTTTCAGTGGGGTTTCGCCTGTGCCAGCAGAGCTTGGACAGGCCCTGGTGCATGGGGTGTTGCTATGGCCTCAGCTCCAGCCTTGTATCCCCAGCACTGGGGTACAGCCCTGGCTGCAGTGCCTGCACACAGGGGAATGTTGGATGCCATGGAGCTTCCACAGGGATGGGCAGTGCTCAGTACTGCCTCTTTTCCCTTTCAGAAACAGAACCTACAATTCCTCTTTCAAATGTCACATCTTTGTTCCCACTAGAGCCTGCTGGTTCCCTGCAGGTAGCGGTCATGTGGCTGCGGCCTGGGCTGTACCCCACTCCCATTCAGCATGGGAGGGATGTGGGGAGCTGAGGCCTCTCTTGGGCTCTGCAGTGCCAACTCCAGGGAGCTGAGGTCTGCCCACGTTTTGGGGTGCAGGGAGTGGAGGTGGGTTGGGGCCGGAAAGGACACTCAGCTCTCTGGGAAGGGAAGAGGGTAGAGGTAAAAATAACCCCTGGGCTGGCTCTGGTCCCTGTGGCTTCCTGCAATTTACAGCCCTTCCCGGGGAAGGGGAGGCAGGAACCTGCCTGGATCCGAGCTCACTTTGACCCTTTCACCGCTGACAGAAGGTACTGGAAGGACCTCGCTTTGCCCCATTCCTGTGGGCTTAGGCAGGACCCTGAGGAAGGGGATTACAGTGCCAGGTAATCATTGCCCTGTTCCTGATGCCCCTGGTGTGTGTGGGGTCAGACACAGCGGGCTCCTCTGGGGGGAGGCAGACAATGCTGCTATAGCCTCAAGGGTCAAAGGGATGGAGGGAAGCCTGTCCCAGAGCCAGGATCTTGGCTGTGATCCCATAGGAAGAGCTGGGAGATGGAGCCCATGGCTGAGAGGAAGTCTGGGGGTGTAAAGGTTGCAGGGACTGAGGGCTCAGTGCTGGCAGGGTGCTGGCACAGAGCAGGATGTGCTGATAGGGCTGGGCTGGCAGGGGTTAATGGGGTGGCTCTTCCTCCCTCTCTATATGAGGCTCCTGCGGCTCTGGGCTCAGTTTGCTGCTGGCTGCTGGAGGAAACAGGAGCAGAGGAGACCAACCAGCACCCTGCACAGGCCCAGGTGAGCACAATCAGCCCCAGCACAGGCACACAGCTGGGACATACGGGTCCTGGGGCTGGGCTGGGGGCACGGAGACACTGCAGCCCAGGGGGTGATAGGATCATGTACTTGGGTGGGCATCCATGGAAGCACTGCAGAGCTCCTGAAACCCATGGAGATGTGGGAGTTTGCCCCTTAGGAGCACAGGATCTGAAAAACAGTGCTTCAGTTTAACATCTGTAAAATGGGGGTGGATGCACTGCCGAAGCCCTTGGGCTGTGTGTAGAGGCAGAAGGCCGCTGGGCTGCTGCTCTCTAGATAGCTGTGGTCTCCCTGTCCCCATCGTCAATCCAGAGGTGGCTTTTCAGAGCCATTTGGGCCTCTTTTGCTCAGGGGCACCATCTGCTTGGGGCATTTACAGCCACCTCTGCTATTCAATTTATGGCCTCAGTGCTGTGCGCCTGCTTAGTCCCAACATTGTCCACCACTGTCCCTGCATGGGTGCTTGATTAAAGCTGAAAAAGGGCTGTTTTTGCTCCTTGACCCACCCAGTAAGTGGTGATAGGAGAGAAATTGATTATCCCAGAGCCTGGCTTAGGAACCCCTTGCTGCAGAAGGACAGGACAGGAGAGGATGAGCCTCCAGCAGAGTCGTGGTGCCGACCAAACAGCCTCTGCTTAAAATAAACCTTCCCGGAGCTCCTTTGTTTTCTTTTCCTGAAAGGGAAACAGAGCCGGGAGCCCGGCCCAGACCAGCACCATGGGGAGCCACGATGCCCCGCACAGCACGGAAACCCCAGCAGCCAAAAGGGCCCCACTGCTGGCACATGGGGAGGGAGGGCTGGGGAAGCACACTGGCTTCCCCATGCTGTCTTTGTTCTGCTGTCCCTGGGCTCGTAAAGATAAAGCAATGGCTCCAGTAAATTTCCTGTACGAAGCTGTTCTTGGGATCTTGATGAAGCCGGCGGATGCCTGGTGCTTCTCTCTTCCTGCCCGTGATTGTTCCTGCCCCGGTTTGCAGGCAGGGGCCACTCCTGTCCTCCTGCACGGCTCTATGCTGCTCCTGGTCCTTCTGCTGGTGGTGCCACATCCCTGGTGCCAACCTCACCCGTGATTCCAAACTCATCTCTGGTTCCAACCCCATCCCCAGCGCTAACCCCACCGCTCCTCTCTCCTCCCAGGACAGCGGCTGAGCGCAGAAGCTGAGCGCAGCTTTGGGTTCCCCATCCCACGCAGGGTTGGCTGGCAGGCGATGGTCCCACTCGGCAGCACCCCCCGAGCCGTCTGCACTTCTGGCCGCGGCGTCTCCCCGCTGCGTTTGCTGAACCGGGGTCCCGAGTATCTGCGGGAGCAGCTGGGGGGGGGCAGCGGTGGCCGCACACCCAGCGCCGTGGAGCGGCTGGAAGCAGACAAAGTGAAATACGTCAAATCGCAGCAGGTCATCAACAGCCGACAGGAGCCGGCACTGCGAGGCTGCTCGCCCTGCTGCTCGCCCCGCGGCCGGCGATTGCTCGCCCTGCAGCAGCGCCACGAGTTCTGCCACGGCTCCGATCTGAGCTGTGAAGGCAGCCGCAAGGTGCCCGGTCCTTCGTCCCCTGTGCCGCGGAGGGGAGGCGGCGGCAGGCGTCTGCTGAGACCCGACTCGCTCGTCATTTACCGGCAGAAGCGGGACTGCCCAGCGATCAACAAGGAGAACACCAAGAGCTACGGGCTGGTGCGACGCCTCTTCCAGGGGCCGCTCAGGGACAAAGCCCCCAGCTCTCCCCCGGCCCAAGGGTCGGATAAAGCCCCCGAGAGCCCCATGCTGTGGGTGTCCATGGAGCAAGCAGAAGATGTGCAGACGCCGGGAGCCGGCAGCGGCAGCAGCAGCATCGTCCCAGTGCCTGACAGCCCCGTGCCGCAGCCCCCACAAACCCCCAGCCTGGCCCAGCCTCCCGCCTCCCCCAGCCCCAGCAAACCGGCACTTGGCCTGCGTCTGTCCCTGCCGCTTTCGGAGAAGGAGCGGTTCTTCAATTACTGTGGGCTGGACCGGGCCATGGTGGAAGGGCTGGGGAAGGAGCGGTTTGTGCCAGCGGGATGGGATGCTGCCTCAGCACGGCTCCACAGCTCCTGTGAGTGGGAGCCCAGCCAGGCCTCGGGGTGCAGCGGGGAGGACGTGGGGCCAGGTGAGGAGGAGCCGGACACAAGGCTCTGCTCCGCCATTTCGGTGGTGGAGCGCAATGCCCGTGTCATCAAATGGCTCTATGGCTGCCAGCGAGCTTGGGCGGCCGCCAAGGAATCCACAGTCTGAAAGGAAGCACCCCAGCCAGCCATGCGTGGGTCTAGGTGGATGGATGACACGGCCCCTTGCTCTTGCTGGATGTGGTCTGGGGACTGGCAGCACCCTGACACGACGGTGCTGCCTGCAGGCCAGCAGGGACACCAAGTATACTCTGAGCAGAGACAAGGTCTGCTCACAGAAGGGACAACTGCTCTACCCCTTGGATATGCAGCCCACCAATAGCTGCTTTTTGAGGTGTAGGTGCATGGCTGAGTGTGGTGGGGTGCCCAGGGACCTTCTTTGGGTGAGTCCAGCCTCAGCCACGGTGGCTGGAAGGCTGCTGTTCCTTGCTGGGTCCCTACCTCTTGGTCCTCCCTGTTTCTGGTTGTGGTCTAGGATGGCAGCCTTCTCAGCCTCAATGGGAAAAGGGCTGCTAGGATGGGAGCAGGACTCTAATAAACAAACCTGTGGTTTTCTTCTAGCATGGCTGCATCTGTGGTTTCTTCCAACAGTGCCTGAGTGGATGGGGGATGCTTTGAGGATTGGGGTGGCAAGCCCCCTCCCATCCCTCTGGAGGGTCTCAACCCCTTGGGGCAGCTCTGCATTCTTGGGGTTGGAATGGGGCTCCACAGGTGGCAGGGCTGTTCTAGGAGACAAAGGCAAAGAAAGCACCACGCATGCTCAGGGAGAAGGGCGCCGTGGGGTCTTTAGTGCCAACACCTCCACATTGCCAGGGCCCATCACAGCATCACTGGCTGGCGCTGCCGCAGGGCCACGTTGGCACCGCCTCCTCTAGTTGCCCTTGGAAGCATTTTTATTTCGGATTTCAGCCAGTTTGCTGGCCAGGAAGCCCCATTTGAAGGTCCCTTCCTCGGGCTCTCGCAGGTCACTGGGGCCCTCATCACCTGGTGGCTCCGTGGGATTCTCACCCAGCTCTGGTGGGGTCACGTCCTTGTCCGGTGTCGAAGCTTGCTGCCACTTGGTAGCGAAGAGATCCCAAAAGCCGGCTGCTTTCTGGGTGGGAGGCAGCTCAGCTGGCACGGCAGCCAGGGGGCTAAAGGAAGAACAGGGGTGGGGATGTGGACACAGGGACTCCTGCACCAGCTTCAGTGCTGGGGTGTATCTGGGATCCCCCACCCCGGTCCAGGGACTGGGATCATAGGTGATGGGGGAACATGGAGATGCAGATCCCAGGGCAAAATCTAGGCTATGGGAGCCCCCCTCCCTCCTTAAGACATAACTTACTGGTCGGCGCAGGGCTCTGGGTTGAGCAGCTGGTGCTCATCCTCACGGGTGAAGAGAGATGAGAGCGTCCGCCAGCCCCCCTGGACCTGGAGAGGAAACACAGTGCGACTCAACGGGGCTCACTGGGAGTTACTGGGACTCCCGGTCCCAGCAGCACCCCACAGCTGCAATCCTCACCTTCCGTGCCAGCTGGGACACAGGGCCGGATCCCTCCTCCATCAGCGCGGGGGGCTCCGCTGCCTCCATCAGCTCGGAAGGGTCTCCCTGCAACGAACCCAACCCAGTGAGAGCAGGAGGAGGGCAGGGGGCTGTTATCAGCCGTACCCCCCCTTCCATTACCTCCTCCTGCAGAGCACCGTCAGCCCGTGCCCCCCCCAGGGTCTGCAGCACCCTGGCTTTGTAGAGCCCCCAGATGCCCTGGGTCATGGCGCGGGGCTGCGGGACAGAGGCGATGCGCAGCGGCAGGCGGGGAGGTGGGGCGGCTCTGGTCGGCGATCCGATGTCCTCATGAAAGTTTCAGGGGCCGCGCTCCGTGCACAAAGGGGAACCTGAGCCCGGGTCGCGCTGGGGGAAGAACAGCGGGCGGGGGAGGGCTTCGTTCACCCCAAACCCGCTCCCGGTGCCCAGTGCGCACATCGGGGCGGCACCGGGGAACAGCCGAGCACAGTCAGACAGCACTCTGCAGTGCCACCGTCTGCGGCGGGTGCGTTTTTCTGCACGTTTCGTGTCCATGAAGGAACTGCAGGAGCCACGCAGCGCTCAGCGCCGCACGCGGGGCGCATAGAAGCAGGAAAAAACTTCCGCTCCTCCAGCGCATGCGCACTACGGCCGGGCGGACCTGCCAGCTAAGGGCGGAGAGGCGCGGCGGTGGACGAGCGTGTGTCCGCCCCAGCGCAGCGCTGCTGCCACCTGCTGGCCGGAACGCGGCACTGCAGGCGCTGCTCCGCACCCCGCGCCGCTGCGTTAAGAGCCGCTGTCCCGTCACGTTCCAGAGCAGCGACTAAACTAATTAACAATTTCTTTTCCTCCCTTCTCACGTCTCCGTGAGGCTTAAAATAACAAAAGAGCTCTTCCATCTCCAAAGTCAATTAGTCACTGGGTTAGAACTTCAGTTTTTGACATCGTAATTAGATTTCATTAATGCATTGCCGAAGGCTGCAAGATGGAAATGCGGTAGATGAGCCTCCCTTTGCATCATCTTTCAGTTAATTACATGCTTATCTTGGAAACAAAAGATGCTGCACACAATAAAAAACCTTATGTCCCAAAATATGCATTGGTGGATGCACAGTGAAACTTGTTGGAGGCTGTGAAGTTACCTTCCCTCTACACAACCCGTCCTTTTCAACACGTTGCCAACAAGCCCTGAGATCCTTTAGATCTCTTGGTGAAGGAATTTGCAAAATGCTGTCTTCTGGGACTAGGAAAAACGCTTGGCTGATCCTCCTGACCTCCCCTTGGTGCCGTGCATCAGAGACCTCTGCTCCTCCCAGGGGATGAAGCTCCATCTGCACACAGATCTGCCAGCACCATCCCTCTGGGGAAGTGATTTTCTCATGCAGGTCATTGATATCATATCACAGAGCCATAAGTAATCACATTTAAAACGTGCTTTCAATTAAAGCGAGGGCTTTCCGTTCAGTAACATCTTTCAGCAGCAATTTGTAACACCAACACTGTATAATTGCTGCTAATAAACATGCAGGTAGCAGATAATCTTAACCATTTGCTCAGATTTTTCTCCCAGCGACATCAGGCACTGCAACCTGTCTCAGCTGTGTGAATTTACTGTTCCCCTGCAAAAAAAGCACTGCTCTCCCTGCCTCCAAATCCTCCGAGGCAATTCAGTCAACAGACAGCTTAAGGTGCTGCTAAATTGAGGCTGTGAAAATTATTTCTCACTTTATGTCCCACTTGGGAAGAAGCTCCACCAAGCCCACACACAGCGCCCTGCGTAATGTCGTTAATGATGGACTCACTGAGGCTCAGAGCTCTGGAGATAAATTTTAGATGGCTTTATACTTCAGGTAGTCATTCGGATTTATTTATTTTTTAATCACCGACCACAGCAGGAACTGTTTGTGGGTTTTATGTTTCTTGTATTTTATCATTCCATGGCCTGCTTCCCACTCTTATATGCTGCGTGGATGAGACCTGAGATGATGCTAAATGCTGGACAGTTATCTGTCCTTGGGTAGTGTTCTGGTGGAGATTGTTACCCCACTTCTCCCTAATGGCAGCACAGGGCATCGTGGAGTTCTCCAGGCTCAATATGAGGTGCTATGCAGGTGGGCAGGGGGAGTCACTGCTCTCCCACACTGTCCTGTGGCAGATGAAGGGCAAAGCAGATGGTAGGTTTCCAGCTGAACAAGGAGGTGCATTATTACCCAGCCCACTGAGCACATCACACACAGCTGAACCCCATCATGGATGATGGACCAGTCTGCAGTTGGAGAACAGCCCCCTCTGGAAAGCTCCCAGTGACATTTCTGGGTTCACAACACACTGCTGCCTGCAGGTCTCACGTTGTGCAGTTCTCTTTCCCAATCCAGTGTGATTCCTGCTGGAAAAAAAGCCCAAATTTCAAACAGAGAAGGGTAAAATGTCGATTCCTACACCTGGAGCTGAATGTTGCAGCCCAGTCTGCTTCAGGTTCATCCTTCAGCCAGCTCTATTTTAGAAGAGATGGCAATGGAAGAAGCACTGTTCCAGATAAGCTGGCATCAGAGTGGCAAAGAGACAACTTGACCACAGCCATCAGCCACCTGGAAACAGGCTTTGGTACCACAGCACGACCTGATGTGGGTCAGCAGGCAGCCAGGTGTGTGGTGTGGGCATGTTTTGTCTGAGAGCTCCTGATAACTGGATTGTGCAGAGATCTGCACACCACAACAAACAAACAAATGGCAGAAAATGAGTCAACTGCCCCCATGGGGGAAATCACTGCCTGACCTTTCATACAGCTCGCTTTCAATGCAATCACCTGACATTTATGGGTTTTATCAGTATATCCACAAATTAGCCACAGTGTCCAACCAACTACTAGGAAGAAAGTAATTATGGGCACCACTGCTAGAGCTGATACAAGGGCTGCTTGGGGAAATAAAGGATTACTTTCAAATATATATATGTAGGAGATCTTGATTCCAGCAGGTGTAAGGGAAAAGAAAATTTAAGGCTGACATAACAGTGGGAAGAGAGAAGTGAAAACGTTCAGAATTGAGATCTAATCTCCTTAGCACCTTGGGCAGCAACGGAAACTCTTGAAACCCAGAAGCTGTTTCCTGAGAAAACTCCCAAGGAGAAGGCAGCGGTAGAAAGAGGTTTCCTTTCACATTTCAGGGCACATCCCCATGATCAGAATTCGGGAAGCAGAGACATTAAGCCAGCACTCAACCCCGAGGCACCCCTTGTCATCACACTCACCCCTGTGCACCTAAAGGAACCACAGCTCGTGCTGGACCCTGCTCAAGGGGAACGTCCCCACCACATGTGGCACTGCATGGAGCCCTGCAGCACAGGAGGATACAGAAGGGGCTGAGAAAAGACCCCACAATCCTTCCGAGGACAGCAGGGTCAGTCCTAAAGGGCTCACCGCTCTGGGACATCTTCTGAAGGATGCAGCAGACGAGAGGAGCACTTCCAGCAGCACTCAAACTGCTTCCCAAGCCAGGTTTTCCGTCCCTGTTCTGCTGGGGTGCTCAGTCCTCGCAATATGTCAGGCTGATCACTAGATGTCCCCATCTGAATACAAATGGCAATCCTGCCAACTCGCCCCCCCTCTTCCACCGAGGCACAAACCAGTCTCACAGCCCCCCACTGCTCCCCGACACCGACAGTAATTAAAGATAACACCACTTAGCTTCCCGTCTTTTGCACTGAATCGCTAATGTTCGATTTGTTTAACCCTTGCAGCAGAAAAGTTAAATAAACAAGCAAGCACCTCAGCAGGGCGTGCAGTTCAAAGGGAATTGAGGGTGGCAGGAAGGCTGCACCCAGCTTGGTGCGCCCTGTTTGCACCCTGCGCCCTCTGTGCACCACGAGGCTCTGCCCTGCTCCTCTCTGATGCATTCTCATCCTTGTGCTTGGAGGGGAAAGCACACTACTGGGATAAGGGTGAGGGCATCTGCCATGTTCAGAGCTCAGCTGTGCAATGCCCTAAGCAACCCACTGCATGTTTGCCCTTTGTGGAGCAAAACACAGGACCAGAGACCCCCAAAGGTCTCCCCAGCTCACACAACCACGTATCCCAACATCCCTCTTCTCCACAGGACTACATCCACACCCCCATCCCTGACCTCATGCTATGGGGACAGTCAGAATGTTCTTCCTTTGGATCTGGGCTGCTCCCCTGCAGCAGTAAGCTGTCCCTACTGCCCACACTCCTTTCCAGCTCCTCTGTCTTGTTTCACCTGGCTGCTTATCTCAGTATTTTCAGGTCATTTAAGCTGCTTTATTTCGTTAAGAAGAAGCAAGTGGAGCCTGTAACCAGAGTTGATAAATCCTTAGACCTCGACCTCAACGTTTAACTGCTTAGGCTGATGCTTTCCATTTCTCCCAGCTGTGCAAAGGAGAACAAGGAGCTCCATTTTCCCCGGAGCCAACACCTGGTTTAAGAGCAGCAGGTGAGAGTGCACCGTGTGCAAGGATGCAGAGCTTTGGGTTCAGGGTTTGCTCTTCTCCCCATCAGCCGTCCGAGTTTGTCGTGGTATCACGCAGCATCCAGGGGCTCTAAAGAGATCAGAGAACTGATGGCGCTTTGTGACAAGGAGACAGAAGGCTGAGTCCATAATATGTCCAGGAACTGCAAGACATCATTTCTCACATCACAGGAAAATGGCCCACGGCCATCAAAATGAAAAGGAAAAAAAAAAGATGCTCTAATAGCAGGCCATTATCTCATGACAATGGCTCTGTTAACACATGCTAACCCCTCTGATGTGCTTAGAAATCTGAGCAGGAAAATGAAAGGTGCCGCCGGTAAGGAGAGCTTGTATTTAACGTTTCTGTCCAAGTGGGAAGTGGAATTTGAGAGAGCAGTCCTGTAGGCTTAAGGAAATAGATTGAGAAATGCGTTTGGAGAGCGGAAACAGCATAAAACACGTTGCAGTTTGGCTCATTTGGGATTCCAGTCATAGAGACAACAACACTGTGGAGGATTTAGCTTGCCAATCAACATCTTATTTATTTCCTCTGAAGAGAATATCTTTATTCCGCGCCCGTCGCTGCAGCCAATATCTGTGGGATTACAAAATCAAGCAGCATCTCCCATTTTTGTTTTGTCCATAGCAGCACAAGATGTAAGAAAATATCGATACTTTGAAAAGAGCTCCAAAAAAAACCCAAAACAAACCCAAACCAACCACCTCTCCGGGGGGGAGAAAGCATTCAAATCCTTATTTTCATTCTGTCCAAGAAAGAAACCTTTTCCTGCAAGAAAAGAAGAACCCTCTGGTTCCTTCATTGCCCCCCCAGCCAAATAAAGAAGGAGAAGAACATGTAAATGAGAGCCAGTACTGAGAAGGTTTAATGTATGCAATTAGATGTAGTGAAATGAAAAGAACACCAGACCCATCTCTTCTCTGACATACTTGATTAAAAAAAGATCTTCCTGTTCAAAATGAAGTTTTACCATCGTTTTTCCCCTTGAAACAATTTTAGCTCTGCTTTAAAAAGTAGTTCAAGTCCAACTTTCCAAAGAAAGCCATCAGAAATAAATCTGGATTCAAATAAATGTAACATTATGTTCTGTTTGGGGGTTTGGAATTGAAAAAAAATGACTTTCTGCAGAAAAAAAATACAGTAAATGCAAGGCAGTAGGGAGGAAAGCCACATGAAAAGAACTCTAGGGTGGAAAGCGTGTTTGCTTCCAAAATAAAGAATCACAGCTTCGGTTGAACAGAACAAAACAATATTATTATTTCAAGTGAATGTATGAAGGCTCAGCCAACTGCTCTCATTTGGGCTGCTCCTCCACTCTCTGAAGTTTCATTAAAAAATTCCCATTAAAAGTAATCATAATAATGATCTGGAGCAACACAACAGCCCTCCTCTCTGGAAGTGCATGTAACCAAAGGCTTCCCCACTTTGGGGAGCACCTCTGGCAAAGTTTTTACTTTTTCTTTCTCCCAGGTCAGTGGGCAGCACCTTTTACACTCGATAACGCAGCTCACAAATCACCCAGCACACAAATTTCACCCAGATTCTAAGCTGTTTAACAAAGCAACCTGAATTTCTGCCATATTAAGGCCTCAAGCTGCAGGACCTCTGAAAAGCTGATTACCTTCAAATCTCCATATTCCTACACAGCTTCATTTCATCACACTGCCACCACCTCTCCTCCTGTACATCTCAGCAGTAGGTCACTGCCATAGCACTGCAGGGACCCTTTCTCATTTCTGGGAGATCTGAGAGACACAGGCAGACACAAAGCTCAGCAGCATCACTAATAGCTAAGGTTGTGTGGGGCTGATCAGGACCCATTGAATTCAGGTGCTGCAGAACTGGGTGCTGTCTTCTGACATGCTCATAGCCACACTGATAAAACACAGCTGTGATAAAAACAAAACAAAAACCCCACGTTAGTAGAAAGATGACAGACCTTGTGCTGTTTTGCCTGGAAAGGAGCAGACCACCAGGATGCTATAACCTTCAGGGAGTACTGAAGCTTATCACAGAAAAGTTTCAGAAGGAAAAAATGCTCTGTGCACAGGGCACATCACAGCTAAAGCCCACAGACCCACAGTAATCTATATGTGCTATCCTGCAAAGCCAACATCTAGGCTTCAGTGGATCTAGTGTCACCCAGGTGCCTGATTCATCTTTTCTGCATGGCAGCCAGTCCCATCCAAACTGATACTTTTTCTTTCTCTCATTTGTTTCATCCTTCTGGAAAAACAAGATAAAATACCAGTCACTTTCCAGAATGGGGCAGGAGGGGAAGGAAGTGCTGATGAGGACAGAGAGTGGGAAGCACATCTGCAGAGGATACTTTCTGATAGATTATTGTCTGCTGGGTGTCGCAGGCCCATTTCCTCCCATCAGAATTCTGCTGGTGGAAGCACTCCCGGGAGACACAGCTTCACATCTGTACGCAGCACCAGAGCTTACAAGAAATGAAAATCCTGGCTTTTAAATGCTGGTAATGAGAGAAGAGTGGAGGAGTAAGAATTGCTTCTATTAATCAAATTCCCCCCTTTCATCTGTACTGCCTGCCACCATCCATTCTGGAGAGCATCACCTAAGTGTGAGGGCATGCCAGCCCTGTGCTTTTGAAGCCCATGGGCAGAGCAGCCTCAGGTACCTCTGTGTGATGCTGGTACCACTGCCAGGGCTTGGGCAGTGAATGGAGGACTTTGTTTAGCAGCCTGGAGGGGTGATCCATCACACAGAGCTCAGACTGCAAATGCAGGATGCCTGGCTCACGAGAGTGATACCAATCAGGACAGATAGCATGAGGAAAAGGAAAGGGAACATTCACACTGATCTGCTTAATACCCAACCTGACATCTCTTGGTCCCAAGTGCTGAGTTGCCCAGAGGGAGAACGCAGCCTAGGGCAAGTGTTGGCTACAGAGAGGAAGCTGTCAGGAAATACAAGGGAAGAGCAAATCATCCAGACATGGACAAGGTCAGAATTCAAAGATCTCCTAATTTTCTGTGGCAAAGGAGGAAAACCAGCTTCAGTATACACCGAGGAACCTGGATAACATAGGGATCAGCTGAGGATGTACTTGTAGGGGAAAATGACAGGAGCTGCATCTCAGCTGGCTTTCCAGTGAACCTTTCCTTGGTGGTTGGTGGCTGACTTCAGGAATCAGTCATTCCTGGAAGCTCAGACAATGGATAAAAGCTGTTAACTTCTCACTGGGTGGACCTGCCCAACTGGTGCCAGTAAGAACCAGTTGCAGGTTTTCAAATTCCTGTCACAGCCAATCTAATGGGGAGGGCACTGTGCTGAATGCCCAGCGTCAGCAACTTTGCCCCAGGCTTTCATATGCTGCTGTCTGCGAGCCTTGAGCACAAGGGAACAGCAGGCTCCTCTGCTGACAAGCATAACCTGAGGTCTTGTCCTCCCCAAGTAGAGGTGGGTTTCCTCCAGACTGCAGCTCAGGCCCAATACAGCCATTTCACTGCTGAGGCTGCAGACAGTGCTGCCTCCCCAGTGACAGGGAGATGTGACATGTGGGACATGAGGCAGTGTGCACCTGAAATGCTCCTGCTGACCTCAGCCTTCAGCTTGCTTCCCAAGTGTCAGGGCTGACCAGCACCAGCTGCTCCTTGTTCCCAGGCCAGCAAGCGTTGTGTTTTCTACTCTTTTTTTTTTTTTTTTTTTTTTCCCCTTTGTTATTTTTTGGAGATTTCTTTGACAAGCCAGTGGATTCAGCTGCAGAGCATCAGCAGAACTTCTGTGGTCCAGGGATGTGAAAACCAGCAAAGAGTGCACTGCTCTTCTGTTGCATCTTCTTCTCCCTCCAACGTACCTCCTTGGGGCAAACCAACCTCTGTGAAGGAAGGACAGGGTTCATTTACATTGCAGCATTTTACAGCCACTTGGTACAGGCCTGTGGAAATTCCTTTTGCTCATTATGTCTGTTGTAAAGTTGGCATCAGAATAACTGCAAAGTTTCCATTCGGGCACTGAGCCATAGTGGTGTCAGGCCTGAGATGTGGGATCAGAGCACTATTCTGTGTTGTAAAACCCTAAAGAATGCAGGTTGTGCTTGCTCTTAGGAGGTGAGGAAAATCCAGGTCTGTACCGGTGTGATTCAAATCACTTGCAAGAAGTGACTCTTGTACAAACAAAGATGACTCTTGTGCAAATGAGTACAAGTGGCTATGAGGAAAACAGGGTCAGGAGAACAAGATTTTGTCCCTCTTCTACACGTAAAAAAAAAAAAAGCAATGCAAGTGTTAAGAGCTTTACCCAAAATCACAACAGGCTTTGTCAGCACAGCATTCTCTCCTACTTACTGCATGACCCTCTGTTGAATGGAGCTCTTTCTGATCCACATCATCCATTTTTCTAAATGGAGCCACTTCCAGTTTGGCTTGAGGGTAAGGGGATTTGTGTAACTCTGTGGCCTTATTGCCAGCAGGAACATGTGACATCCATTAGCATCAGCAGATGTGATGAACTTGCACCTACGAGGAAAAAAATCGCATACCTCTAAAGAAAATGACCCCACAGAAAGGATAATACATTGGAAGCTTTTATTCAATCCCATTAAGGAGAAGTGCCATCTACACTGCTGTAAGCAAAATGCTGCCAGCCTGGCTTAGACAACCATGTTGCTCCTTGCAGCCTTTTTCAGAGGTAGAGATTGCTGAGTGCAGAGGTGATATTGAATTGATTCAAAACAAATTTTTGGCTGTTTCAGGCATTAAAGTTCTTCAGGAAGGTCAGTGGTTATGTGGTACAAGCTGCTGCTTTTCAATCTACCCTTTAGTTTCAATTTACGGTTCTGCGGAGAAACATAAGAGCATTCTGATTCCTGGTTTTAAAAGAAAATAAAACAACCTCACGTGGTGAGCATGGGGAGATGGCTTTGAATTAGACTGTAGCAACTTCCCTGCTTGTGTCAGTAGCTGCTCCTTGGATCTTGTGTCTAAAAGCAGGTTCTTTTTTGATGTGAGAATAAAGAACGTTACAAAACAAAAGGAATGCAGCCACACCTGGGGCTTCCTGGTTTGGAGAGAAGCCTGCTTGCTTCCCTCTGGGCAGGAGACCAGGAGGGCTGGGAGAGCAGGGGGCTGCAGAGGGGAAGTCAGAGACTTGAGGTACGGGAATGGACTCCTGAGTGCAGAATTACAATAAAAGTCACAGACCTGAGTATTGATGTAGGCTACTGAAGAGAGGAACGTGACAGAGAATGATCTGGATTATGAGCCAGCAGAAAGTGAGGGCAGATGGGTCTGTGGTAAGGGCTGCTGAGAGTCTGGAGGACAGTGTGGTAAGGCAGCTGAATGACAGAAGAGTGGTAATGAGATGGATGTGCAAGAGTGGAAAATGGTAGCTGTGCTTTGACCATCATGGTCAAAGGATTCCATGGAGACAAGGTTTGCAGGGAGAGGTAATGGCTTCTATTAGAACAATTGGTGTCATTGAAGGGGAAAATGACTGGCTTTTGAGCAACCAGCCATCGCAGAGCCACAAAAAGGAAATTGGGGTGAAGTATTTCAAAAAGAACATGGGGAGAGGACCTGACACACCCATTCCTATAGCTGGAGGGCAAATGCTAGAGTTTGGTTGTCTGGTGCTCCTTCAGAGCTTTTACATTCATGGAGGCAAGGTGCAAAATGCTTCTGAATCAGAGCGGAATGTTCACATTTCCCTGGTTCTCATGTTTGCTTATGTAAAAGATAAGAGAAAGTCCAGGACAGAAGGAGATGTATCCTTGTTATTCCCACAACACAAACTCTTTTTTTCCAGTGGCCAGGACAACTATGCTCTGCAGAGATACATCAGTTCAGTGGGACATACAGAGAAGGAGAGACAGCATGAATCAAACCACACATCCTGGGGGCGAAAGCCACAGTTCTCTATTGACAGTGAGATGGAAAAATTCACTAATTTGAAGACAGGAAAGTGGAGGCAATTCTCATTGCTAGAGGCAGCTACTAGGGGGAGACATGGTCACACTCTCTCTAAGCCGAGGCCACAGAATTCATAGCAATGTGGCCACAGTACTTCTCAAATAATGAGCAAAATGAATGCATTCATATCAAGCTGGGGTGAAAGGAGATCACTGACCCAGCTGAGCCTCCAGCAGTCCCAGATACACACACATCTGCTTCCTGCCAAGCTGTGCAGCAAGATAACACAGTGGTCCCATGCTTCCTCCACTGCTCTGGAAGTCACAGATTCCTCCGGGACGTCTGAAGATCCTGTCTGTTTTACAGCGTTGAAAAAGCAACTTTTCTCTTCTGCTGTCATCTTTGCCCCATTATTCTCCAGGGACTCAACTAAAGGAAGCTTTAATTCGCAGTCCTTCTCCATCATCCTTCCAGCAGAAGGGACACAGACACTGCTGGTTAGCTTCCCTGCTCACCTCCTTGGTGTTTGCTTTCCCTCTTTTCTAGCTTGCTTACAGATTGAACTGCTCCTTTTATTTCTTAAAAGGGGTAGTGACCTTTCTTTGAAGCCCATCTTGGAAGTGCTGCTTGTTTGCAGGTTATTTAGCATTTCAATGCTAGCACACGGTGTAGATCTGCACCAGTACTCTTTTGTTTTCCACTACCAGGAGTTATGTCAGCTCTATTTGTTTTGGTGATATTTCCCTACACTCTATCTATCTATCTATCTATCTATCTATCTATCTATCTATCTGCCTATCTATCTATCTATCAATCATATCTAAAGAGTCAACACACACAGAGAAGTTTTAATTTATTAAGAGATGAAGAAATGGCCTCAAGTTGCTCCAGGGGAGGTTTAGATAAGGCATCAGGAAGAACTTCTTCATGGGAAGTGGGGTCAGGGGTTGGAACAGGCTGCTCAGGGAAGTGGTGGAGTCCTCATCTCTGGAGGTACTGAAGAGATGTCTACATATGGTGCTTAGGGACATGATTTGATGTTGGACTTGTGATGGTTGGACTCGAAGACCTTATACATCTTTTCCAACACAAATGATTCTATGTTTATTTATTATCTGTTGATAAGTGGCTCAACTAAGACAAAATGCTATTGCATCTTTTCAGAAGAGCAATCCCACAGAGGATGGGTGGACTTCTTCCTTTCCTGACCAGTGATGGAGGTAGCATTTGTCCTCTCTTCATTAGGACAGAACACGAGTGCAAATCCTACAGAACTCTTGAGACTTGAAAGCAGAGATAATTCACACTCACTTGTCTTTAGAGAAAGCAAGAGCCATGAAAATTGCTTTAATCTCGCTATGGATTAATA